AAAACTAAATGTTCCCAGTGAATGTGATACAGTTGAAATATTGCATACAATCCCTTTAAATATAAAACTAAATGTTCCCAGTGAATGTGATACAGTTGAAATATTGCATACAATACCTTTAAATATAAAACTAAATGTCCCCAGTGTCCCTTGTCATCGTGTTTATGTTAAAAATAAACAATCCTTGACCAAAACATAGAATTCGAATCCGTCGGATCATTCCTCCAGGGAATCATAACAAAAGTCAAAACAAATTTACGACAAGGCACGTTGAACAAAAATATTAAATGTTTGAAAATTAGATTTTTTGTAAAGCAATAAATCTGGAAACTTACTGAGAAGAGACAGCATGGTAACAAATGAATAATTTAGCAGTGTTTAGAAATGCTACAGTGATAACCAGAAAACTGTAGAGTAGGAAGATAATAGAATAGGAAGATAATAGAATAGGAAGATAATAGAATAGGAAGATAACCAGAAAACTGTAGAGTAGGAGGATAATGTTTTAGTAATACTGAGGTAAATTGGATGCTGGTACAAAGCAAATAGCTTTACTAGTAAGTTATTGTATTCCTTATAAAGTGAAATGGGTCTGTTTACACTGCACAATTGCTGTGTCTCATGTTCATCCTCACTGGACTATTTAAAGTCTTAACTTGAGCATAAAAAGTTTAAGACAAAATAAATAATGCTAGACCAGGGACAGTGAACAGAATAAGATAAAATGAATAATGAATGATCGAGAAAAAGTGATGACATTAGCATGTCTTTTGTACCCTTTACCCTGTACCCTGTACCCAATTTATTGAAATTCATGAAGTAATAACGGTTAGAAAATGTTATTTTATAAGCAAAATACTATTATTAATAAGAAAAATATTAATAATAAATGTATTTTATTTTTACACGAAATGGTCCTATCTGTGGAAAAAATGCACTCTGCAATGGAAAAAAATACCTTTATGTTGTGCTCAAAAAATTGTATTACAGTTTCTGAAAGAAAAGCTTATTAAAGAGTATTTTGTTAAAAATCATTGATCGTTCTATAAACTACAGTTTGTAAACAACGTGTTTTGAGGTTCCATATATGTATTATGTATGAATCTTCTATGCACCGCGCCGGTGTGTTACCGGCTTTTAACTATGTACGGCCGGTAATGTATTGGACGCCCAAAGTTAAACCGGCACAAATTGCCAGACTTTTCCATCAGCTGATTGAATGCATGCAGGCATTAAAATGCATGATTCCAAAAACCAGGATTTGATGAAACTACTGATACCAGGTTTTCAAGGTTAACTAAACACACGATTTTCCATCAGAATTGTGTCTCTCTTTCATCCAGCCTGTCATCTGCACACCTCATCCGTCATCTGTCATCCATATACTTTAAATCATCCAATCAAACACCTATTCGTTTCATCTTCCTGTTTCCTGTACTCCCCCCTATCCCCTCTCTCTCCCCCCCCCATCCACATCTAAAAATGGTGAACTTAATTTTCAGAATTGATGCATTGTCTTTTAATGTGCAAAAAGCATTTGATATATTTGTGCCGTATGTCCTATGGTTAAATTATAGTGTTTAGTGAACGAGTTCTTTAAATTTACTATTTCAGATCAAGGCAGTTCTATACCCCCGGCCCCCCACATACTCCAAATAAATACACATACAAAGTTAAAACTTGTGATATACCAGGGGTGTTGCCGACCCAGCCCCATTCTGCAATTTTTTTTCCTACGCCCCTGTTTTGAACCCTTTAATAGAAACTCCGCATGTATGAGAAATGTTAAATTATGATCGCCCATTCAAACGTTTCCCGTATTTTCACAATTTTCCCAATACATCGCCCAGAGCTAAGAGTCCTTATTTTCAACAATTTGTCAACCCTGCGAATTATTATTTTGTACAAATATAAACTCTTTTTGAGTCTTTTTCTTTATCTATGGCATGGATGTTCAATTTTTTTATACACTTAAAAACAATGGGAAGGCCAGGGGGAAATTAATCATCAAGCAAAAATTTATTTTTGAACCCTTTAAAACTTAAAAAGAATGTACTCCATAAAATCTCTACGCATCAATTAAATCGTTAAATTTCTCTACCCTCTACCCCCCTTTCTTTTTCACCCCCCTCACCAGTCAAGGTCTACCTTTATATCTGATCAATTTTCAATTTTCAATTTTGAATCATTAATTTTGCAGATTTTCCGATAAATTGCCGCGGAGTTTTCTTAGTATCCTGATTCATATACACAAGGGGGACAGTATAAGCAGAACTGCATTGGGACCAGGGATATTATTTATCAATAACGTCCTTCTGCTGTCCTTCTAGTCATTTATTCTCAAATAAATTATCATATCTGTCCAACAGTCCTCGGATAAATCAAAGATTAGATATTCAAACGGATAAAAATATAATTTGTTCTAAATTCTAGCTTTTCTAAAGGAGTTACAAGAAAAAAATCAACAAAAAAATTAATAAATTGAGGGATTTTTTAGTTAATGTAAAGTAAATAAATTTATTCTTTGCCTCAAACTCTGATTTTTAATCCCTAAAACTTTGTAACAAATTGTAGACCTTAGAAATTTCAAACTATAAGTTTAAACGAAATAATCTATGGTTTTCACCATCAAGTTGTAAAGATATAGGGATATAGGAAAGATATAGAGATATTGGAATTTTCTTTTACCTTTACTGATAGATCTTAAGTTTTTTTATACCTAACTATAAGTTGTGAGTTTGATCAAGGATGAAAAGATAAAATGACTGAAAAAATGTTTTAGCTAGAAAATGTTTAAGCTGAAATAACTTCAAATTTTGTTTGGTAGTAAGTATTTTGTGAATAATGTGAATCTATGGCAATATTTTGTTTGAAAGTAAGTATTTTGTGAATAATGTGAATCTATGGCAATATTTTGTTATTCCCTGTTTGTATTTCCTTAATATCCTTCATCCTTAATCCTCTAATCTTTCCTCTTCTCTCTCTTATCTATAGATATTTTAGACTCCACCCTTTTGATCCTTTGTTTTTACTTTATTGTAAAGTTGTAACCCCCCCCCCCACCCACCCCTTTTTATATGAGACCTATGAGACCTTGGTTTACATGATTTTACTCTACCAGATCTTGGATCAAGGAATTGAGTCTTTTCCACAAACTCTAATTTTATAATCATATAACATATAATTTTCCATGTCCTAATCTTATTCATATTTTATTTTTCATTTCTGCCCATCTTTTTCACCTTTTTCATTTTCTTGATTTTATATTTATTTTCTTGATCTTATTTTCATTATTTTGGTTTTATTTTTATTTTCTTGATCTTATTTTCATTATCTTGGTCTTATTTTCATTTTCTTAATCTTATTTTCATTATCTTGGTCTTATTTTCATTTTCTTGATCTTATTTTCATTTTCTTGATCTTATTTTAATTTCTTGATCTTGTTTCATTTTCTTGTTTCATTATCTTAATCTTATTTTTATTTTCTTGATCTTATTTCATGTTCTTGATCTTATTTTCATTTTCTTGATATTATTTTCATTTTCAATTGATCTTATTTTCATTTTCTTAATCTTGTTTTCATTTTCTTGATCTTATTTTCATTTTCTTGATCTTGTTTTCATTTCTTATTCTTATTTTTATTTTCTTAATCTTATTTTTATTTTCTTATTCTTATATTCATTTTTTTGATCTTATTTTTTATTTTCTTGATCTTATTTTCATTTTCTTGATCTTATTTTTAATTTTCTTGATCTTATTTTTTATTTTCTTGATCCTATTTTCATTTTCTTTACTAATGTACGTCTTTACAGTTTTTAACAGTTTTGATCTTAATTCCATTTTCTGATTTTATTTCTACTTTTCTACTTTGTTATGCTTTTGAATATACTTTACAAATATGTAAGCAGAAAATTCAATATGATTTGTCCTTGATTTTTCTTTGAAAACTTTTTTTTAAATTAAGCTTAATAATATGGCAAGTTAGAGTGAGTGCAATAAGGTTCATGAGTTTTATTTTAATTTTAGGATTTTATAATAAAACATCAATCCATATTTTTCCCCTCTCACTTTCAATGTCTTCACATATTTTCGTTTTATTTCTGATAACCCTACCCCCCTCCCCTCCCCCCCTCCATCTTCTGTTTACTGTTTAGTACAACAACATGAACTAAACCTTACCTTAACCCTATCTCATTCCTACCATCTTCCCTCCCCTCCTTAGACCTCCCCCCCCTATTCCCTTCTCTCCAGGCTACCTTTACACACAGACCTCATTGAAAAACAATTTGGAATTAGATATATGTATAGTGTGCTGAATTTTATACAGATTTTTTCCTTTTAAATCAAAGTTTGGCCTCGATTATAGATATGTGGTCATTTAGTCCGATATAGGTATATAATATATATACTTATTCAATAGTATGTATGTCATGCAAAAAAGAGTTTAACTGCGAGTTCAAATATTTCAAATAGAAGTTATGCAATGTCACATATTTAAACTAGACCAAGATAATTTGGAGTTAAGAGGAGAGTAATAAAGAAAGAAATTAAGTCTTTGTCACAAACTCTGATTTGCTAAACCTTATAACTTTGCAACCCAATGTCGAAGACCTTAGATATTTCAAACTATGAATTCTGAGATGGAATTTAAAGAATTTGAGCCGCGGTTTAAATCTGCCAAAACCCAGTTCAAATTAAGCGCCGGCTTAAATCTTGAAACATTTGATACAATTTTAAGTGGAACCATCCATATTTAAGACGCGGCTTAAATTTAAACCGCCACTCAAATTCTTTAAATTCGGCCACTGTTGGATCAAATAATGTAGGTTTGAAATATCAAAGGTTTAAAGAAATATTTTAAGGTTGATTTTTATCATAGGTCGGAATTGTTCATGCTCATATATATTTAAGCAGTTAAGCCTGGAGCCAAGACTAATACCATGTTTATGTTTCAGGTGTGTTCTCAGAGTTCTCATCTTGGTATGCGAGTAGTTCTACCCCTACCCTGAGCTAAACCATCCCTTCTCCATCCCTTCCATCCCCCATCAACCCCCGGCCCAGCAGGTCACGGTGGGCCGCCCCGCCTCAGGAAAGGTCCAGTACTCGTAAAAACTTGGTGAAAGTTGGTTGTGCTGCGGTTCCCTCCGTTCCTTCCATACTCCGCGCACCAACTCCAATACACGGACAGTTAATCCAGTGTTTCAGTCTACACAGCGTTCAAGTCTCTCAGTTGTTGAATCCAATACACTTGTGATACATATATATTCTATACTCGTGTATCAGGGACATGCATCAAGCCCTGATTAAACATGAGCATGAACTGTACAAATTTCTCCCAGAATGCCTGGAAAAAGGATCTGTGTTCTAATTGTTTTAGAACATTAAGTGAGCATAAAAATGTCGGGATCAATGCCGGTCACCCTGTCCTGGGGGGTCAGGATAGTTTGACCCAGCTACAACAGGGAACAAACAGATATCTAACCCTGACAAACAATCCTTTATCCTCCCGTAATGTAAAATTAATCTCTAAATGGAATGACACAGTTTTTCAAGATCAGACAGAGAAACCAGGAAATAATACTTTAGATACAGACTCCTTTCCCCAGATAAATACTAAGCTGCAGGATACTTTAGATAGTTTAAATACTCTTGATAAACCCGCTAAACATGGAAGAAAGAATAGTTTAGATGTAACTGATGAACCTGCTGTAATTACAGAGCTAAACATGAAAGATTCGCCTAGTCTCAACCCTTCTCACACTGTTATACAGAGGTTGGATAGTTTAGTTCTAGGAACTCCACTTTCCTCCAAACAGCAGGAAAATAGATCAGAAAAACATGTGTCAGGAAAGATTGGAATCCTCAAAGATTCAACCAGAGATAAATCAGGATCGGAGAAAAAGCGCGGCATTACATTTCCTGATTATGAAGAACTTCAAGAGATTATTGGCTACGGAGGAGAGTGTTATTACTCCTCTGAAGGAGAGGATGATGAGGAGAGTTTCCCTGCTAAACCTGACACTGATTACTCTGAAGAGTTAACACAAGAAGAACGTAACGTCATCAACATAACGAAGAAGAACACTACCTTCAACTCCCACTCACAAAATCTCAAGGAGAGTCCTACTCCACAGGTTAAATTGGGCCAGGAGAAGAAACATACTCCAGTCATATCAGTCAGACCTTTTGTACGAGAACAGACACCTGGCAAGGTTAACATGGTGTCTCCTATGATAAATGGAGAATTAGTTAAAACAAAACCTGAAACTATAAAATCTCTGGGTCGGGAGAACAAGCTTATTGTCAGGAAATTAAGTCATGATGAGTGTGGGAGGGGAGAAGTAAAAATTAATAAAACTGATAGCCTTGGATCAGATGGTAGTACAGAAAATTCATCTGATAGTGATTCAAACATTCGTGACACCCCCTCTCCCCAATCAGTTCCAAGTTATCATGGGATCAGGAATGAATCAGAACTGTTCTCCAGTTCTAGGGTTGAAGATGAAAAGAAATCGTCCGCAGCAGTGGCCAGGCTCTCAAGTTTAAACAAATCTGTAACTCCGACAGTTGAACTGTCATCTACTAGTCAATCTCAAGATGTAACCAAATATTCAGATGAACCTGGATCCAAGATGGTTCCAAGAAAAGCCAACTCTACCGCCCGTTTATCATTTCTCAGCAGTACTGTCAGTGGAAGCCCCGGCCCTGAAATGTCCTGTCCCGACCCTGAAAACTCCTGCTCCGACATACAAACAAAACCTGAACTAAATTCTTCATCTGATAATGAGGGTTCCAGCAGCTCCCAACCCAGGATACTAGACACGGAATCAGTCTCAGAAAAGGCTCCCCAAAATCCCATTTATTCCGCTGAGAAATCAGAACCAGTCAAATCTCCAGTTCCCAAAGATACACCAAGAGTCAAGCTGACCAGAAAGAGTCCCTATGTTGTTGGTCAGAGTACCTCTATACTCAGAGGAACTCCCAAGCCTATGATAACACGGAAACCACCAATATTAAAAGATAAACCAAAGGTTCCCGTCAAACCTAATAAACTGATCATGCGTTCTCCATCTTCATCTCCATCCCCTCATGATCACACAAGGTCCAGTTTATCTCCGGTAGCCAGAGAGAACAGAGATGATGCTAGTCCTGTCTCCGTGAGACCTGTTCCCGCTCCACGAACTGCATCATTCAGACAAAATAGTGAATATGTTAACCTAACTATATCCCAGGGCAGGGAAAACAAATCAACCTCAGGTTCATCCATCAAAACCAATGAAAGTGATTCAATTGAAATTGATCCTATTTCCGAAGATACTGAGGAGAAATGTAATGATAGCTTGACCCAGAACGCTCTAATTATCTCAGTACCCAGTTGTGGAACCACAGAGACCAAGAGAATTCAGGAGGATTTCACAGGAGAAAATTCCCCTCCCCTGGTTCAGAAGAAGCTAGGGGACAAAAACAAGGAAGCTCTTGACGCCATACGGAAATCATTAAGTAATAAACTAATTAGCTCGGCTCCCCCACCTAGAGTTGTAGAGAGCATTAGAGCTTCTAACAACGGATTAGATTTTCTCTCAATACAGCAACCACTAGAAAAGAAGATATCTAATTCATTTGAGGAAACTCGTGCAGTGCTTGAGGAATCCTTACATTTTAGCAGACACGACATATCTCAACCTAACACCAAGAGACAAGCTCCACAACCACCCCCAGATTGTGATTCTGCTGAACCCGTTCAACCCGTTTCACCGCCCCCGGAGCAAAGTGATGTAAATGACAAGTGTAAACCTAGTTCCAGCTGTGTAGATGTAAAGGAGGATGATACTAAGATATTAGATCCTGAACCCTTAGTTCAACCAACTCCTAAATTAACACCTGCAATTAGAAACAGCAGTATGAAAAGCGAAATTTCCAACAAAACCAGAGACAATAAACTCCGAACAGTTCAGTTCAGCCCTGATACACTAACTGTAACTGTTCCAATAGACAGGACGCCTAAAATTATCAGCTATAACCGATGGATGGGTAAAAATCCGTATCTAGAAAGTTCTTTTACCGGACAACCCATAGCTATGCTCCCACCAGGAGTGATAAGCCCACCCACCAAGAAACCATTGGTCCCATATCCCACCACTCCTGTGATAGATGACGTACCCCGTAAATGGACGGAAAAGAAGAAAAAATGGCGCTCCAAATCAACACCAAGATCTTCTGAAATTGATGAGCTCATGGGGAGCAGCAAGACAAAAGCTCCGAACAGACTTGCAATATTCACCGGAGGTTCACCGGGTCCAGCTCGGAGACAGTCTAGAGTTGAAATCTACGAGTCGGAGAAGAGAATACAGAAGAAGGGAAAATTCTCTCTGAAAAACTTGTTTAAACCCCAGAATGAAGCGTTGAATGAAACTCTGCCGAATAAGTTTATTGATAAGGAGCACGAGCGTGAAATCCTCGAACGACAAAGAGGGAAATCCAGACCTGAAATCATACATCCTCTTGACCTCCAGAATGGTGGAGTTGAGGTGGTCAAGATCACTCCCAAGAACTCTGTCAAGGGACAGTTTGACAAGAACAAGCTCTCTATATCGAACAGTAAGCCTGCTGTTCAGAGAAACCTAGATCTGAAAACTAAGATTGATGTTGATGGAAAGGATTCCGGACATGATACTTCTTCAATCCATACAGAGACCTCGGAGGATACTGGAACCTGCTCCGGTAGCGGAGATTACTCCTCCTCTTCAGCAGACTACCCAGCCAACCTAGCTAACCTGGATATGTCTCCAATAGGAATGGTTATGCAGGTAAACATTTAGTATTTGTTAAATGGAGAGGTAGTGTTCCTCCACTTCAATAGTGACATGTCGGATTCACATTGGTTCCATTTAAGCCTCCTTATGCTCAATGCTCATTTTGTATTTTAAAACGTTTGAACTCTGACAAGTTCTTTTATTGTCTCGGAAGCAATAATTCGATATAGTCACTTTAGAGAGAACCCATAATTAAAAATAATAAATTTTTCCAAATAAAAATACGGATATTTTATTTATCCTTGATCAGGCATTTGTTAAGATGGTACCGTTATGAATCGAACATGTTCACTCTATAAATGGGAGGCTCACTTGAAATTACGTCTCAAATACTTTTGATTGAAAAATTAATATATAATGTCAAATGATTTTACAGAGCAGATGTATAGTTCTAGTTCCCAGGATAATAATAATCAGAACATTTGCCAGAAAATTCATTAATTCTCCGTGAAATTGTTCTAAATTGATCACATATCAACGAATTATAGAAAGTATCGAATCTGGTAAAATAATAACTTGAAATACGTGTTGGATAATGAACTATGATGGCGGGAGGGGGTTGGGGGGATAATTTATTGTGTAAAAAGATTATGATTTTTTTTTACAAATATTAAGTACATAAGAAGTCAACGATAGATGTGATCGATAGATGTGATCGATAGATGTGATCGATAGATGTGATCGTATTTCTAAAAAGTCTAAAAATCAGATAACACCGTTTGTAATTTTAAAAACTGATTTCAATTGGGGTTTCTCTAAAAAGTGACTTGTGCAATATTACTACTACAGAAAAACTACTACTACTACAGAAGTTATCTGAATTAAACACATTTATAACCAAAACAAAAGACCCGTGTCTTCCACATTATTGATAAGATAAATATTTCAGTGGTATCGTTTTGAATGGGACATTGCCATCTTTGTTTAAGGGTTACTTGAAATTACGCTTACAGTCCCTTTAAACACCCCCTTCCCCACTTATAACTGTAGATGATAATCACCTTCGGCTTCTTCCCCTTCTATTCCCAGCACTTTAATAAATTTCAGACTTTCTAATTTTTGTATATTTTCCTCTTGCTGCTTTAATTTTGACCATTTCCTCAATAAAGCATTGTAAACTGTGGATAGCTTGAAACCAGAGTATGAATATTTTAAACCGTTCCATTCAAAATATTCCCACCCGGGGTGGTTTATGTCTTTCTTTTTCTCCGTCAAAATTACCATTTTTATACTGCCATCTTGGGATAGTTTTTCCAAACTTTTTATCCAAAGACCTTCCATTGATCATGCCTCTTGGTTTCAGGTTTTTGGTTGAATATTCTCAGTGTAGATTTATTAAGCTTATTGATTGTAATAAATTGATCTAAGGCCTGTAATTTAGATTACATAGAATATACCCCTGTAATTTGAATAAAATATTTGAACCCTGTTATTTTACGTTTGATGCGAATTAATCAATATTCTAAACATTCGCAACGAAATTCATACATTTAAAGTATTGCAAGTATTCACAAATGGGAAATAAGTTGATTTGCGTATTTATGCTGCAGAAACACGAATGAAGGAAATTTTCAGAAATAAACAATTTTAAAGTAGAAAAATCGACGATATCTTTCTAATGATTTATCAGAAATACATTAGAGTTATATCTTAGATTATTGATCACGTCCTTCTTTAAAGGAACTGAGTTCTTTCAACAAACTCAGATTTTCTATTCCCTATATTTTTGTAACCCAATGTCGTAGACCTTTGAAGTAAATTTGTACAGGTTTACACCATCAGGTTGCACAGAAATAGGGATTAGAAAATTTGAGTTTGTGGCAATTATAACTTAGTTCCTGTGGGTCACTTGAAAAAATAGTTTATAGTTTATTTTTTGCTTTTAATGTTGCATGGTAGCAAACTATGTTTACTCTGAAACGGATTGAAGTTCTTTACATCTGCTAGCCTGCAGGTTTGCCTGTAGCTCCATCTAGAGTTTGCATGCTCGTCTCTCTACTTGAAATAATTTGAATACCCTCCTCAAGCAATGTTGTCCGCTGGTGTAAACACAATAATTAGGCTTTATTTAACATCTTGAATACTAAAGCAACATATGCTGTGAATTTCTTTAGGCTACGGCCAGGGAAACGGAATGTTAAAATTACTGTCAACGTCAACAATTTATTCGAAAACTGTACGGGAGGTTTTAATATTGTACGGTATACGGTGTAAAGCGCACGGTGTACGGGAGGTTTTAATATTGTACGGTATACGGTGTAAAGTGCACGGTGTACGGGAGGTTTTAATATTGTACGGTATACGGTGTAAAATGCACGGTGTACAGGAGGTTTTAATATTGTACGGTATACGGTGTAAAGTGCACGGTGTACGGGAGGTTTTAACATTGTACGGTATATGGTGTAAAGTGCACGGTGTACGGGAGGTTTTAATATTGTACAGTATATGGTGTAAAATGCACGGTGTACAGTCTACTTGTACAATTGTAACCTTAAAGGGACTGTCAACATAATTAAGTGAGTCTTTTTTTTGGAGATATTTCCAATTTACAGTTCGGTACCATTTAAATCCCTATCCTCGTAGTGATGAGGGGGAAAATGTCGATTTTTTAAATCAAAAAGTGTTAAATTCTGACAATCTAGAATTTTGACTATGTAGCATAAATCAGCAAGTAACTTTTACAGAGAAACCACAGTTGAAAAACAGTTATTTATTAGGATATCTCATTTATTCTTAAACAAACAAAAGTTTAAAGAGTATCACTGTGAATTGAACATACTACTCTATAAATAGAGCTGGATACTAGAAATTACGTCAATACTTCTCGTGATATCAATCTAAAAGTTTGCAATATCAACCTTCAGAATGCAAAGATATTGGGATGAGAAAGTTTTATTTTGATTGAATTTTAAAGAGAGTGACCGACAATGTATAATAATTTAACTGAGAATGTAGTATTATGGAGAAATGTTTTAGGATTTATTTGAGACATATTAAAGTGTTAATGATGTATGATTACTGAGTTTGAGCGCAAAGTTGTTGTTCAAAATCATCCATTTGGTTTTGAGAATCGATTATTAAATAAAGACAACGAAAAATATAATAAAAATTCTAAAGTAAACTAATTAGATGTTTAGAAACATATTTCTCAATAAAAATTTGTCAATAAATCAATGTTCGAATAAATTATTTCTTTTTCATCATAATATTGAATTTCTTATTCTTCGCGAATTTGTTCGCAGATTTCTACAAATTCTTCAAATATCGTCTTTTCAATAAAAATTCCAGAACATCTACAGAAAATGTTTAAACAATGAAAGATTACAGAAACTAATAAGTGAATCAGATTATTCATTTTCGATGATAAGAGTTAATTACCTAATTAATTAACGATTTTTTTCTTTTTTTGTCTCGTTATTTTATAATTTTAAAATAAGTAGATTCTCAAAACGTAACAACCCAAATTAATGATTTTCATAGTCGACTTTGCGCTCAAACTCAGTAATTATACATCAATAAAACGTTTTATATGTAACAAATGAATCTTAAAAGATTTAGTCACAATACTACATTCTCAGTCCAACTACCATACATTGCCGGCCACTCCCTTAACAATTACTTAATACGTACACTAAACTTTTCATTAGTCTTTGTCATTTGTGTCATTCTATTTACAAATTATGTAACACTACCAGTGAGCACAGTTTTACTTAAAAAATTGTGCAAACTAGGTAAAATGAATGATAAATCAAATATGCCATCCTGCGCGCAGCCAAAAATATAATTGCACTTTTTTATACACCTTTCTTCATGTTGTTCCAACAGATGTAAAGAATAGTCTGAAGTAATTACAAGATACTTTTAGTATAATTAGTGAGTAATCATTGTAGATTACCCCCCAGTAATAGCTAGGGGCTCAACTAACAGGAGTAAAAATGGTTCATTAAATTGTTTATGTACTTTGTACTGTTTTTCTTTGCACAATTAGAATCATTCCGTGTATTTATATTTTCAGAGATATTCCACACAAGAGCATTTAGAAAGTTTATGTTCTCTCTCATACGAGTTTTCCTTCCTGTATGACCTTCCATGCCCTTTCATAAGCAATATTTTTTTTTTACCTTATTTCTAAAAAAGTCAGAAATCACACTCCCTTCCTTCCCATTTTCCCTTCATCCTGTCTATACAACTTAAAAATTACTTGACATCGCACACTAAAGCACTGTCATACAAGTTAAGACACGTATTATACTATGCGGCGTGTATCCCAGAGTTTTGAGCATTCTTGCATAGGTCGGGTATATTATTACAGGTTACAGCAGTGAATATGGAATTTTTACACAAATAACAGGAGGGATTTCTCTCATGAACTTTAACGCGTTGGAACAATATCGCATAGGAGATTTCAACGTGCATAAAGAACTCTATCGTAATTCGATATGGTCCACGCTCTTCCCATGTTCATCCACATGTTTATATTTTTGTCCACACAATTTATATGTGCGTTCACACTCTTTATGTGTTCGTCCACATGTTTATATTCTCGTCCACATTCTTTATATGTTCGTCCACATTCTTTATATGTTCGTCCACATTCTTTATATGTTCTTCCACACTCTTTATATGCTCGTCAACACTGCACATTTTTATCCGCAATAATTGTATTTTCGTCTGCACATTCTATTAGATTTACATAATTTTAAAGATTTTCCGCAAACTTTTTTAATAATCTTTCAAACTGATCTTATTTTCGTTGACATCCCTTTTTATTTTCGTCCACGCTTCTTTTATGACATGAAACCGTCTACTATAAATTTAGAGAAAAGTTGATTAATAGCCCCCGACCAACCCTGACCACAAGAATGTGAGTTTTTGTCGACAAAAAGGTCTCTATGTTACCCAACATATTGGTATTTATTTATTATAAACAATGCACGTATTTGTAATAATCTCTCATTTCCTTACTATTCTGAAACATATACCAATACCAGCAACTATATTAGTTTTTACAGGAAGTAAACTAGGCAATAATTGTCTTTTTAATATTTAATTATAATATTACACTAGACTTCCCCCTTTGTATAATCAACCGACATTCAAAGTATTTGTCATGAATTTTGCAAACATAATTCCAATTCTCTTTACGGTTTACATTACATACATATATATTAAACACTTTTAGTTTAGAATTTAGTATTTTTCAGATTGTAAACTTAGTCGTGTCTTTTACGACTTTAAGCCTTACTATATTAAATATATATTAAATATATAAAAGTTTTATTAAAATGTATATAAGCATGTTTAAATAATCTATCTATAAAAAGATATTGATAAATCGTGAGAGAATAAATTGTTTTTAATCAACAGAAAGCATTGCTATGGTCAACTTTCTTACTAGGAGCTCGGTGTTAGAATTTATAGAAACATTAGTTTCTATTCTTTGGTCAATAGTTAGGAAAATTAATTTAAATTTAAACTAAATATGTTTTAATAGATTCTTTATAATAATAAGTAATAAATAATAATAATAATAATAATAATAATAATAATAATAATAATAATAGTAATAGTAATAATAATAATAATAATAATAATGATAATAATAATAATAATAATAATAATAATAATAATAGTAATAATAATAATAATAATAATACTAATAATAATAATAATAATAATAATGATAATAATAATAATAATAATAATTATAATAATAATAATAATAATAATGATTATAATATTTTCAGCCTGAAGTAGAGCACCTGACAACCCATCATATCTCGAGCTCTATCCTAGGGGTCAACTCGGCAGGTAAAAATAATAAGTTTAAAGACCCTGTATAGTGTATACTGTATTCTTATATCTATTATAATCTGTTTACCCGGGGAAGTATTTATGGAGTTCAAAACAGGATGTAATGGGTAGTTTCTTGTAAAGAGGAACACTCTTTTCTTTACAAAATTGTACACTAAAGTCTTATCTTTTTTGTGACACCCCGTATAAAAAATTTAATCTTTTCTGGGACACCCTGTATTAGTGTGTGACCTATGCTCTGAACAACATGTCTACATGATTTAACCTACTTTGGGACACCCTTTACATAAATTGCAATCTAACCTGTTACACCCTGTATAATAAATTTCATATATTCCGGGACCCGGACACATTGTAAATATGTAGAATTTAATATTTTCTGGTTCACCCTGTGTGTATAAAAGTTTTGGTTATTTAGATATTAGATAAGGATAATCATTATCGTCAAGTAATTTCTTTTCTACAAAATTATCCTTTCTCCAAATTATCCATTATCCAGTTCGTCGATAGCAACCATATATATATTCCTCTTTTCATCAAAATTAAATAAAAAGGTTCTGTAAAAAAAAATCCTACCTACACCGAAATATCATTTAAGCAACCTGTTTTTAAAAAACTAAATGCTTTTAAAATGTTTTGCAATTGGTGTGTTTAAAAAAAGATGTCCCGCGTTGCTTCGAAGAAAAGATTAAATCTCCCGGTTCGCGGCTTGTTTTTTTATACAAACCAATCTTGAAAGTCAATTATGCAGCTACCTAGTAACCTACTGCCTTATACAGGCCTCACACCCCAGGCATTCACAATCATATTTCTCAGTATACAAACAGTTTCAGTTAATGGTCAGGGAATTTCTTTAAAAAGATTTAAGGTGTTCCAAAAATCTGGGAATTCAACAAACAGCTTAGTTAACTGAGTGTCCCAGAAAACTTGCTTGATAATAAAGTATACCGGAGCTTAAAATGTTTGTCTCCTGGTACCGCGGGCACTTTTAATTCGAGGAGCAATGCTTAATTTCTTTATTCTAGTTATTCCTCCAGTTTACGAATACCATGCGGGATATTGAAAATAAGATGAAATTAAATTGCAGATTAACTAAAGATCAAGATCAAGCATTGATCTCGATATCCACAGTACAAGAGTTCTCAACCTGGACATGATGGTCTCGTATAAATAGAATAAAAAATGCAGGGCGGCAAGATTTTGCATCAAAATTTAATTTAAATAAACCCCAGCGATTAATTAGATTAAACTAGCAATTAATTTGAATAAAAACTCCTAAACACAGTTAAAGCCTGCCTACGCCCAAGCTAAAGTTTAAAGGACCTTTGCATCGCCTGCACTAGACTTTTTTGCATCGATTGCATCAGAGCTAAAGAAGGCCGTCAGACAGGTTTAAGAGGGGGGGGGAGGAGGGAGAGGGCGGTATAGGACTGGGTAGGAAGGGGAGGGGGAGGCTTTGAATGAAAGGCTAAACTTAATGGCTGAAGGATGGATGGTATATAAAGGGTATTTAATAGGGCTGCAGAATTAATGTTTGAATAAGACCTTGCATGAACAAGAAGGGGGGGGGGGGCATGCAATCTAAATTAATGGGCATAAAAGGTTCAGAGGGGGGGGGGGATTTCTCCTTGGTAAATCAATTTGTTCAAAGTCATTAAAAGGCTGCAGCATGATCTCAGCACTTATAATTACATCATGTAAAAAAGTGTACTGAGGACCATTAGGACATATGTAGACTTTCTCTTGTGTTATAAGAATGTCTATGTCTTTTTTTACGTCTTAATGATTTATATTATGCTATTAATTAGTGTTAATATCATCACCATGTGGTTTTATTTAACAAAGCAAATAAGTTAAGAACGGATGACAGACTCATATAGTCATTCATTTTTTTTTATCAATTTTAAACTTTAAATAGTAACTATTAACATTTTTATTATATTTGTTGCTAATATATTTTTTTTTCAGGTAAACCAAAACCTGCGCCTCCTCCTCGCAGCCAATCCTTAGAGGTCTTTGACAAATTCGACGATGATCGTCTTTTCTTTCCGTCTACCGAGCTGTCGCGTTCCGTCGATCCTCTCGCCTCGCCACGCTTGTCTGATCGTTCTCCCTCCCTCAACCCTCGTGATGAGCTGAACCTAACCCTGGAGACGGTTTATGCAAACCTTGGCTCACAACGCTCTAATCTAGCTCCAAATAAACCCCAGAGAACCGGAAGTATAAGGGATTCCTCCGCCCCTGTGATCTCCGCCACGCCTCCTTCCGCCCCACCCCCACCACCCTCAGTTACCCAGTCTAGTAACGCCTATATGCTTCCGATGAAACTGAGTATCGGAGATCTATCCTTCTCCCAGAGTTTACTAAACCATCCACCTCTACAGAAGACGACCTCTGATCTCTCCCCTCTTCAGAGGATGGTCTCCGACCTGTCCCCATTCCCGAAACGAGCCTCTGACCTCAAAGTGTATCACATGAAGACGGATAGTCTAACCTCTGAGAGTCCTTCAACCTCTGATTCTACAATATCTCTACCATCCTCGGAGCACCGTAAGAACGGAAGTGAAGCAGATTCAGAGAGGGAGTCTGTCTCTCCTCAGAGAAAGCATGATGAGGTACAATAAAATTATAAATTTGGCGAAATTAAGTTTAAGTTCTTCCCCCCACCCCCATTCCCGCTACCTATTACAGAATTCCCTTTTCACAACTGGGCAGCAATTAAAAAATGTTAAGTTCTGTCTCTGCTGCATAAATAAGCAAGCCACTCTTGAACAGTATCAATTTTAAGACAGAAAATCAAGGATATCTTTACAATGTTTGCTGATACAAATGTTGAAAGGGTATTTTTGTGTTTCAGCCAAGACTTTTCATAAGAATTTATTCTTTGCCACAAGCTTAAATTTTCTTATCCCTATATCTTTTCAACCTGATGGTGTAAACCTGTTATTTTTTAGACTTAGATTATTGATCTAACAAATTTCATAGTTTGAAATATCTAAGGTCTACGACATCAGGTTGCAAAGATATAGGGACTCAATTCCTTGTATCTTTTAACTTCTAAACATTCTCAATCAAGACTTTGAAAATTTAATATAGTAATCGCAGTCTGCCCTAAATAAATCTTTACTGCATTCACTGTATCTGATTTTGAATCTAGTATTCTCCGTGGTGTTTATTAGACCCTGATTAGATATTAATCTATCCTTATGTATGGTTCATTTTAACCTAGATTTAATCTTTAAGATCAAGATCCAGAATTCTTTGTGTGGTTTAGAGGCAGCAGACTTATAAACATTAATTCAGACTACTATACATGCTATATGTATTGTTATCATGATTATCAATATTGTTATTATCATTGTTATTATTATTATTATTCTTACTATTATTATTATTATTATTATTATTATTATTATTATTATTATTATTATTATTATTATTATTATTATTATTATTATTATTATTATTATTATTATTATTATTATTATTATTATTATTATTATTATTATTATTATTATTATTATTATTATTATTATTATTATTATTATTATTATTATTATTATTATTATTATTATTATTATTATTATTATTATTATTATTATTATTATTATTATTATTATTATTATTATTATTATTATTATTATTATTATTATTATTATTATNTCCCAGTCCCTCCCCCCTCCACCCCTCATTTCCCAGATGTACGCCCCCTCTCATCACCTTTATATGAGTATATATCTAGGAAATGAGGTGAAATTGAAGGGTGTATCCCCCGTACTGTTCCCTTTTCAATCTATTTAAAGAGTGTCTAGATATTGTTTTCTAGGAAAAGATTGAAGGTTATTATGAGTGTGAGAGGGTGTGTGTATAGGCATAATAAGACCATAACTTCTCACCCCTTCATGCAAGATAAAACCAGTAAAATAAGATAAGTTTAAGAGGTGTGCGATGGAAACTTACTTTTTTCCACAAGATATCAGGAAATTATGTTATGAAACCTATTTAGTTATGATGGCATGAAATATATGCTTCTTTCTTGTCATAATTTTACATTTCAAATGTTACTTGAAAAGAAGTGCAAATAAGATCATTTATGGGGTGTAATACAAAAACTAAATTTTTCCACCAGGAAGTTATGGAACCTTTTAACCTTTAAACCTTTAAACCTTTAAACCTTTAAACCTTTAAACCTTTAAACCTTTAAACCTTTAACCCTTTAAACCTTTAAACCTTTAAACCTTTAAACCTTTAAACCTTTAAACCTTTAAACCTTTAAACCTTCGTACATTATAAAAAAATGGAAATTTCAAAAATTTTTATTTTGTTTCCCAAATATTGTCAGAAACGAAATTTTTTATTTCGAGCGGCCATAAGTTGGTGGGGTCATACAAAAAATTGGACCTGATTAGTCCAGTCGTTTTGATTTTTATTGGATTCAAACAAAATGACATGGGATCCATCTTTCACATAAAAAATCAATGAAATATTCTGGTGATAGGAAACTATTATATTAATAGAAAACTATTATATTAATTATCAAAATTTAATGCTTTTAACCTCCTCGGATAATAAACGAACACTGATGCATCTATTCTTGTTTACAAATTCAGCCCAGAGAGAACTGGTCTAAATATGTGCACAGAGTATACGCAACTGCAATTAACTTTCCTTGCATTATAACCTTGGTTTTGAGACTCTAAGTTGAGTGGGTCCAATGAGTAGTCTGGGCAACGCTGGGTTATATATATATATCATACATATATAAGATTAAGAAGAATAACCATCCTTGAATTGTATCATTATAGCTAGCTCTCTTTTTTACACATCCCTATTGTTTACCATCAAACCTCTGATAATCCTTCATTTATATTATGAATTGAGTGGAATGGAGGGTATTGAACCCTAGAATATTAAAGGAAGAGCAAGAGATTTATTGAATATGAAAAATAAAACTTTAAAACTTTTAATTTTCAGTCGTCGTCGTTTATATCAATACAATTAAGACGACTTTCTACTTCTATTTTTTATTTCTACCAATCTATTTAACATCATGAGGCACATAAACATGTAAACAAAGGAAAGTTGTCTATTTTCAGATTTTCTGTCTCATCTTACGTTGAAAAATTCTTGTTAGGGATAAAACCATTGATAATAATAAGTCGTCTTCAATGTATTGATATAATCGCCGAACGCTCTTGTGATTTCAATGAAAGAAAGTTGATGCTAGGAGAGTGGTAATTAAAAAGAACGTTAGTAATTATCAAAGATGATAGGTAGTAATTAAAGTGTAATCAAATACCATGATGTAGGTGCAGTTTAAAAACATACCTGTCATTTCATATTGATTATTTGATAGCAAGGTTTTCGCTAAAGATCCAGTCATGAAAATACCAATTTTGTGGTTATTGTTTCATAATTATAGAAATAATTTTGTAATCTATACTCAAACAATTTAAATTAACTCTGTTTAAAATATAAATGAACAAAAAGCAGAGTTCATTTCAACCTGGGCAATTAAACTCGACAAACAAGACAACCAAACTTTTTGTTCCATTAAATCATTCATGGGAGAAAAATGCACGAGGGGGCCCCTCTTGATAAATCCGTAAAATAAAAGTACGGGAAATTTTAACCCCATGACAGCAGAGTATTGCTGGGGGGTAATAAATTATTAAACTCGGCACACGTTCTCCTCTTTTCTTGGTGTAAAAAGAGACCGGCAGGTGGCGTTTATTTCACTGATTGTTTGAAATGGTCGCCGAAAATTCCATTATTTATCATCACCTTGCTGCACCGTAATTATTTCTTTCCTTTATGTCACTCACAAATTAAAGAGATATATTTTTTTTTATGACATCTTTAAGAGGTATATTTCCTTTTAGGACATCTTTAAGAGATATATTTTTTTTTAAAAACTTTAAATTCTATCACACAAAAGAACATTACTCAATAATAGAGAATTATACTGGCAATTTAAGAGTCATATTTGCTCTTTTAAGTACCAAAGATTTCGTAAAAGTAAAAAATCATTTTGCGAAAAGACTTAAAGTTTAAAGGGATTGTAAGCATAATTTCAATTAACCCCCATGCAAAGATGGCAATGTCCGAATCACAGTGGTACCCTTAAAAAATTTGTCTGATCAAGTATGAATTTGATATTAAGGTTTATGATTATTTCAGTTGTTGTTTCCCTACAAAAGTGATTTGCGCATTTTCAGTGCAGGAAAACATTTAGGAATTATCAAAACGACAACAAATTCAACACTATTGATCCGATAATGGTACCATTGTGAATCAAGCATTGTCATCTTTGCACGCAGGGTCACGTGAAATTAGGTATTCAGTCCCTTTAGTTTAATCCTTAAGATGTGTTAAATCTAAAGTTTAGTTGTTGTAAAAGTTTTCCTTGGAGCCTGCACACTTCAGGCCTGTGGGTTTTTATTGATATTGGTCCAATACATTGTGGCCTTGCTATGTTTATTAGTGGGTGGACTGAACGAAAATTATATTTAATTATCAGCCCTGAAACTTGGCCCGCTTCAAGATAGAAATGAATGAATAACAGTTTCTAAAACAACTGGTCACAAACTATTACATGTCTCGTATATTAAGCAGGGGGCGGAAACGTCATGAGTGTGTGTCTGTACCAAAAGAGTGTGTGTCAGTTTAAAGTACCGAAGGTGTGTACTGTAGGTTTATACAGTACGTAAGAATCTCGGTATTTGTACAGCCTAGGAGAGTACATTTGTTTATTGATAATTGTTTACTTAGAAATAAGTTTAATATACATGTAATATATTATTTACATATTTAAGTCAAAACTGTAAAGCCAAATTTTCATGCAAAGAATATAATTTGATTAAAGTTTACAATAAACTACTCGTTATTCAAGTTTAATTATAATCGACGACATTGTTCTACAATTTCCTTGACTGTAGTCATGTTGTGTGTCTGTACCAGAAGAGTGTTTGTAAGTTTACTGTACTGGTCTGCAAAGCAGTGCGACTGGCTTTCTCTTGCATTTACCAGCGCCAGTTCCTTTCCCTATATTCCTGTTCCCTGATAATAAGACCATAGCAAAAGTTTGCTGAATTCAAAAAGCAAAATGTTTTTTAATTTTTAGACGAAACCTTAAAAGGAATTGAGTCTTTGCAACAAATCCCAATTTTCTAATAGCGCTTTATATCTACAACCAAATTATGTAAACCTTTGATATTTCAAACTTTGATCGTTTGATATAACAGAAGTCATAGTTTGAAATATCTAAGGTATACAACATTGGGTTGTTAAGATTTAGGGATTTAAAAATCAGAGTTTGTGGCAAAGACTCAATTCCTTTGTTTCGTAATTTCGAACGATCGAAATCATGATTTTAGATGTAATAAAGTTCTAAGCATAATTTCAAATAAAATATCCGTTATTTTTGAAAGGAATTAAGTCTTTGCCACAAACTCTGATTTTCTAATCCCAATATCTTTGCAACCCAAAATGGTAGACCTTAGATCTTTAAAACTATAAATTCTGTTTGACCAAATAATTTAAGTTTGAAATATTAAAGGTTTACTTATACCTATTAGTTGTAAAGATATAGGGATTAAAAAATTTGAGTTTACACACATTACATACAAATGTTAGAAGTTCTTATAACAGTGAACACTTATATTTTATATTTTATATATAATCAAAAATATTTTAGGTTTGCGAAAACCGTCCTGTTCCCGCCGCCCTAAAACCCCTCGCCGCCGCTCTGAACCCTCATTTCTCTGACTTCTCAGTGCTCAGTGAATCCGAGGGGCTACGAAGCGGAGTACAGGCGTTCTACCCTGCCACCTGGGGGTCAGCTCATCTACCTGTAACCCTCATGGTTTCCAGGGATACAAGCTTAAACTCTTCCCAGGCTAAAACATCCTTTTCCTTGAACCCTGTAGCACAGTTCGTTGAACAGATTCCTAACTATCTTCTATCCAACTCAACTAACCAGGGGATAGGAACTAATCAAGGTAAAGATTTACTCTTTATTTAAAATACCGGAATTTTTAAAAATTGGTGATTTTTTCGTTTGCGTTTTGTGATTAGCAAATATTGAATCACTACCCTTTGGAGGAATATTTTCATAGTTTAGGAATAACCAGCTATCAATTTCAATTTTGAAGGAACAATTAGAGCTATAGACGTTATGTAACATTATGGAAATTCCCGAGTAAAATTTTTTTGTAATTTTTTAAAAACTTTTTATTAAATTTAAAGTTAACCTATAAGATATTCTGCCATTTTTCTATCTGTAAAACAGTTTCCTTTTGCCTCCTGTTAAAAAAGAGCCAAAATTTAAACTAATGAATTTTAAGATAGAAAAACATGGATAATTCCATCAATTTGCTGAGACAAAAGTTTAAAGGGTACCTTTGTGAATCGGAAATGCCACGTTATTAGGGAGGCGCCCACTCGAACATACGTCTGCAGTTCATTCAATGCCGTATATTTATTATTTCATCTGAGAATTATTTTGAGATATCGCTTAGATATATTTAAACACATATACGGAAATATTTAAAATAAAGAGAAATTGACAATATATATATATGATATTTTGTATATTATATATTGTATATTATATATTGTATATTTTATATTGTATATTGTATATTTTATATTGTATTTTGTATATTGAATATTGTAAATTGTATATTGTATATTGTATATTGAATATTGTATATTGTTTATTGTATATTGTATATTGTATATTGTATATTGTATATTTATATTGTATATTGTTTATCGTATATTGTATATTGTATATTGTATATTGTATATTGTAAATTGTAAATTGTATATTGTATATTGTATATTGAATATTGTATATTGTATATTGTATATTGTATATCGTATATTGTATATCGTATATTGTATATTGTATATTGTATATTATATATTTTGTTTATCATATATTGTATATTGAATATCGTATATTGTAGATTGTAGATTGTGTATTGTATATTTTCTTATAATATACAATCATGTGGGGGTTGCTTATAAAATAATTTGATTCGTTAAATTTGCTTTGAAGATATAACAAGCCTAATTATGCGTTATTATTTGTTTATACCGGTAGTTTTTCTTTTAATCTTCCTTCCAAACTAATTCTAGACAATTTCATTCTTTCTTGAATCAAAACAATTTGATAAAATTATTGTTTAAACTTCCCCAAATTAAATTAAAAGCTTTTTCTAAAATATCTACTATGCTACGATTACGACTTATCTTATTACTACGAGGGATATGTGTACACTTCCAATCTAATTTAAATGGTTTTATTACTAGCAAATCCTTTAACTTTTAAAAAATACTATTACAGGGTCAGTAAAAAAAAGTGTGATTAGAGTAGTCTTTATCAAAACAAATTTTTTTTAATGAAATTCTTATGCACGGAATGTTTGCAATATTTTGGAATATTAATTTTGTTTCAATTTTTTTTGATACTCACATTGGTACCAAAAAAATCCGTTAATCTTTATTCTTCTCAAAATCAAAAGTGAAGAAAAGAAAAATGTGTTAATGCATAATTTCTATCTAATCCTAAAATTTCATAAAAATAGACTCATGGAAATGGAAAAAATCGCAATTTAGTTCTAGTGTACCTGTCTAAACAAGGCTATCAATAAATAGATCTAAGAATTAGAGCAGTAAAAATTTCATCAAAAGAATAATTTTTATTAATGTGCAAAGGTTAACTGTGTTATTTTTATGTTCAACTGAACAATAAATCGGATCTATTTCATTAAAATGTTGGGGATTCCTTGAATAAATCTCTAAATTGGTCAGACCGATCTTAATGAGATTTTAGGATTAGATAGCATTTATCTAATATCACATTTTTGTTTTTCTTCACTTTCGATTTTGACGGGAAAATGCGGATTTTTTTTGTAGTACCATGTCAGTTTCAAACAAATGAAGATAATATTACAAAATTTTGCAAAAATACCAAAAATAAAAATTTCATGAAAAAAATTAGGTATGAAGAAGACGACGCTAATCACACTTTTTTTTTGACTCACCCTGTAAAATAGTAAATTAGAAAAATAATATAAAGTGTATTCTTTCTGGGATTGAAGTGACCCTCAAAATAACCTTTATTTGATCAAAAATGTAAAAAATATAATCATTTTTTTCCTTGAACAATTTTCTGCGTCGTTTCTGTAGCATTATTCCTCCCAAAAGTCATTCAAATCTAATTTGAAAGAGAAATTATGTATACCTTATTCATTCTGCAGATCGGACAAAGCTTGGTACTGTTGTGATTAGGACACGCCAATTGTATAAATGGTGGTGCAAAGGAAATTATGTCTACAATCTCTTTAGACAGTCTTTCTAATCTCGCATGAAATTCAAAGTTTGATCTCATGTTTCTTGGCCCCTCTTGTTTATATATTTCAATCTGTCTGGCCTTGCTTGCCAAAATGATAGATGCGACGTTTTCATGTCTATGCAGCAGCAAGGTCTTTCAGCCAACAAAACTAAGAAATGTTTCAATTGTGCAATTATATATTTAAGAATGATTACTTATAATTTATGAATAAAATTTACATACAAATAAACTATGTTTTTTTGTAATTAATTTTTAGTCTTCATCTTGTTCTCTCTGTCAATTGCTTTTTCTGTCTTTGCGGCATAAAAGGGCAAATCACATTGAAAGAGAATCCGAAACAAAAATTATGGATTTTTCAGATATTTCTATGATAAGTGTGTATCTGTGTACCTGGTGAAACTAGCGTGTAGATTCACAATGAAGTTCACCTGAAAATACGTAGACAGTCCCTTTAATCCTATTTTAAATATATTTTGTTAAGGTGTAGTGTGGGCTCTGCCAAGGATGACAATCCTAACCTTCTCTTCCTTCTCCCGAACCTTGCATCAGAGAAGGAAGAATCTCCGGATGGATGAGTTTGAGAAGGAGATGAGTTTTATCCTGCTCCAGCTGATTAACGGGTTAAAGTCCCTGCAAGCTCAGGGTACCGAGGAGAGTAGGACGGAGCTAGACAGGTTTCTTCTCTCTAAGAGAGAGCAGGATACCAACTACAGGTTGATTATCACTGAAACCGAGCACCTGGAGAAGGAAGGACGGAAAATGAGTTTATGTCAGTGTGCTCTAGCCGCAATGCTCATGATGTTTGACATAGATAACCCTATAGAGGTCGCCTGCAGAGAAAGGGAGACTATCACCCTCCCCCAGATCCTCCCCTCCGTCAGCATGTACAACACTATGGCCGTAATACTTCAGAAGGATGGATCTGTAGCTCTGGGTCAGGTTAAATCTATGCTGGAGTACATGCTCTGGGGTCCGAGCGATATCATATTCGAGTTTAACCTGGAGCGTGAAGCAGAGAGTAGAGAAGAATCTCTCCAGCGTTGGTTAGACCTAGAGAGAGCAACCGTTCTTAACAATATGATTCGATCCCAGGGAGTTTGGAACATATCCCTCACGGTTTATCAGGAATATCATTTACTCTTCCTGGTCCGAACCTGTGCCAAGATGCTGAGAGAAGCGTCCTTACTTTTCGAATCCGAGGTTTCAAGAATGTAGAGAGAGAATAGAGGAAGAAAATATAATTAAAAAAGGCAAAGTTGAAAACAGGAATTAACTAAAAAAAAGGCATAGCAGTAAAAACCAGTCAGACAATGTATAAAACCCCCCAAGAATAAGTTTTAAAACTAAACAATTGGTTGACAAACAAAGATGAGATTAAAAAATAAATTCTAAACAAGGATAAAAACTAAAATTTAATTAAAGTCTCTACTAACACAAGCCTTGAAATCATGTTTTTGAATAAAAAGTCTCCCCCCCCCCCCCCCCCTCCCGTATAATCAGAAGTATTTGATAGCTTCTGTATTGTATGTTTGAAAATTATTATTTTCTGTGATAAAGTTTATTAAAAGATTATTTACCATGTTGTTTGTTACATTTGATATTTATAAATGTAATTTTTATTATATTATTTGATTAAGTAGATAAATGTATGTTTTTGTTACTATTAAAGGATAAATAGGTAAACAGCATAGATTTTTATTATTTACAATTTCAAACTTGAGTTTGCCACAAACTCTGATTTTCTAATCCCTATTTGATTTTTAAAATATGAATTCTATTTCTGTCTATTCAAAGTTTGAGAAATCAAAGGTTTGTGACAAAAACTCAATTCATTTAACTATAGTTACTTTTGCTTTAAAAGTGTCTAATTCTGATAATACTTCCTTCAATTGTTTCTTCAGCTTAAATCCGCAAGTCTATCGTACACAGAAATTACAAGTGAAAATAATCGATTTTGAATGATGAAAACATTGATATTTTCTTTCTTGATCAGTCAAAGCTTTTAATCTTACCATGTTGAATTGGACAAGCTACTCAATTAATGGAAGGTTACTTGAAACTGTATGTTGAGAGACTGCCCCTTTAAAGGGAGTGACCGGCAATGTATGGTAGTAAAACTGAGAATGTAGTTTTGTGGAGAAATTTGTAAGGATTCATTTGATAAATATACAAAAATACAAAACGTTTTAATAATTTATAATTACTGACTTTGAGCGCAAAGTCGACGTTCAAAATAATCCATTTGGTTGGTTACGTTTTGAGAATCGAGTTTTTAAATTATTAAATAACGACGACAAATAATATGTATCAAAACATCGATAGTAAACTAATTAAATGTTTAGGAACATATTTCTCAATAAAAATTTGTCAATAAATCAATATTAGAATCAATAATTTCTTTTTTCATCATTATATTGAGTTTCTTATCAACCTTAACGAATTTGTTCGCAGTTTTCTACAAATTATTCAAAGGTCGTCTTTTCAATAAAAATTCCAGAAAATCTACAAAAAATTTTTTTGAACACTGATTGATTAGAGAAACTATTAACTGAATAATATTACTTATTTTCGATGATAAGAGTTAATTTTTATTTTCTCAACCTGTTTCTTAACAGCTAATTAGTCTACTGTAGAGTTTGTGTTACATTTGTCGTCGTCATTTAATTATTTTTAAAAATTCGATTCTCAAAACGATACAACCCAAATTGATGATTCACAATAGTACATTCTCAGTTCAGTTACCATACATTGCCTGTAATTTCGAGGGATTATGACCAAATCACTGTTAACTCATCAGAGGGGGTCAAATTTATGCAAAGGTGACTTTGTTACTTCTAAGCTCCTTTTTTGATTTTTCGCATTACAGTATGAGAAAAGCACATTTATCTGGCATATATAGTCTTACAGAAATGAAAAACATTTTTGTTCTTCTCAATAGCTCTTCCATAAGATTGTGTGATAAAAAACGTATAAGATTACAATCTCACCTACAAGGTAAAATAGTTATTTAATCAGAAGGGTCAGGAGGGGGGCTATACAGAAGCAAAACAGGGCACGGGCAGCCGTAGTACATTTGAATTTCCGAGCCAGGGTCACCCTTTCCGGTCCCAGTTTGTACTGTACCGCACGGACATTGGGTTCATAAAGCAGACAATCAACAGGACTAGCCGGTGCAACATGACTGACGTGGTTAGACTTTATGCTTCATTTATGTTGAATTTACTTTTACTGAAGGGGCAGAGGTGCATGAGGGAAAGAGAAGATGTAATGTAAAGAAGTAAACATATGACAAATTGATTAACAAAATGAAAACAGAAAAATTAAAAGAAATAATTTAAAAGAAAAATTAGAAAAAAGAAACATTAACAAATTCCAGCATTTAAAAAATCAAAGAGAAAAAGCTGCAAGACATAAGAGGGTATGTACATTGGCTGTCAAAAGAATAGAAAATCCATGTAGATAACGAAAAATAATGTGTATTGGAAAGCAAAATTCAATTATACTAGGGAAGAAGGAAGATGTGACAAATGGAGATTAAAGGAACAAAAAAGATGATTTGATTTAAAAACATTGAAAAAATGTTTTAAATAGATTTGCTGATAAATAAAAAGTTATTAAATCTAATCTTACAAAATCTTACAAAGATGGGTAAATTGAACTTGCACAGTTGCATGATTAATTAATTTAAAGGGTATTGCTGTGAATCTGGCGTGTCACTTATTTTAATGGAAATGTGCTTGAAATGACGTTTAAAGCCCCTTTAATAAAAATGTAAAAATGAGGGAAAGTGGTGTATAGTGTATAAAAGTGAAAGTATAAATGTTCTAGTTTTAAGTTGGAATAATATAAATGATGTAAAGTAAAACCTCATTCTATTTATCAACTTCTCAACGAAACAACTTTTCCTTTCACGAGAAACTAATGACAGTGAAATAAACCAGTAATTTATCAAACAAAACAAATATATACTCCATGCTAGGCTTCCTATAAACATTTTTAGCTTTTAATGTCGCTCTTAAAGCCGCCATTTTCGATCGTTCGCGGATTTTTCTGTTTTAATCTATGCATTTTTAATAGTATAAATGTTGACAATTTTCGGGAAAATTTGTCCAATTTTGACGGTCCATACACTGTCCTTGAGGTCAAGTGAATTGTCATAAACTTTGTTGGCTCTATCGATTTAAAAAAACTCATCCTTAAATGGATGGCACAGACAAAAATCCCTTCTTCCCCCCCCCCCCCCCCCACCCCCTCTGCACTCCTTATTTAATTAAAAGTTTGTTGATTGCTTAAGAGAGGGAACCCCCGGACGCCATGAGCCTCCGCTATGCGGACACGAGCCTCCCAACTTTGCTAGGCAGACCGAGCCTCCGCTATGCAGAAATGAGCATGCGCAATACATCAAAATGTGCCTGTGTAATACAAGAGGTTTTTAAACTTGTGTTTAAAGTTTGAATAAAAGTTTTTTTCAAATTTTTCGACATATTGGCATGAGAGGTTTCTCTAAGATGATACGTATTTATCAATTATCATAAATAGTGCCTAATTATGACTAATAAAGTGGTCTGTAAAAAAATAAAACATTTTTTAAATAAAAAAGAAAATATTTAGAGAAAAAAAAATTAATTTTAATTCATCCCATCTTTTATAATTTGATTTAAGCTATACCTATTTTTGTAGTTCAAATTAAATCTAGAATATTTGTGTCATTTATTTAAATCTTAACATTTTTCAAAAAAAGGTATTGTTTAAATCAAAGATTCCATAAGTTTACTCCAGAAATATTTCTCCAAATATCTTCCTTTCTGCGTAAGAAATGTTTAAAGTTTTAGTATACATCTTATAAACCACTTTGTGAGTACAAATTTGTTTCTAATCATGACAATCAATAATTCTAATCTTTAGTAAAATTCTTTATGTTACGTTAAAAAAATTGTTAAAATTTTTCATTGCACAGAAAAACCAAGATGTAGAAAAAACTGTGCTGTATGGTGGAGGCTCGTTTAATGCAAAGCGGAGGCACGGTCTGCATAGCGGAGGCTCATGGCGTCCGGGGGTTTCCTCACTCATTGCACACTACTCCAATTAAAAAAAAATATATTATACTTGGTAACATGGGCTTTGCCCGTAAACTAAACTTAAGACATTTATCTTTGATTTCGATGGTTATACTTTCGTTAGTTAGAACTTAAGAGTTAAAACACAGGCTGAAAAATATATCAGAAAGTTGTGGAAATAACATCTGGCTGATTCACCAATTATTTTTGGGATTGACCAATATCAACACCAAATGTAGCCATTTTTGTTTGGATTCGTACAGTCTAAATCATTTTTATTTTGTCTCAATTTATTGAAAATGTCTATACTGAAGCTATAAACTATTCATTACTTTATCTCGACATTTATAATGCTGCCAATTTTTTTTGAATTGATATGATAAATCTTCAATCCTCTTCCTGTCTGACTGTCCGACTACTTTCAGAACTTAAGTTTTTATCTTATATACAGAGTTACCCTCAAAGAATGAGACTGTAAAGATGACCTAAAACTTGTAAAATATGACGATTTCAGGTAGGATTAAGTTTTCTTTTTTGAATTATCGTCTTTAAATGGCCTCTTTAATGATTTGAAACGGAAGAAACAATTTACCAGTTGCAAGGAATCGTGAATACAAGAAAACTATATATTACCCATTTGGACAAATAAGATGCTTTGAAGTGTAAATTTGGATGCTTTGCGTAACCATAGCTTAGCCCATATAAATGTAAAATCAATAGATAAATATCTATGGTAAATTCCCGTTTTCCCGGGTATTATTTTGCAATATAAACCCTTTGGTATATCTTTAGCATATTTTTTACTGAATAATGGGGTTGAAGTATATAGGGGAGGGGAGGTTAATTAATGGCGGCCACATATTCTAAGTCACAGTTCTAAGTCACAATTCTAAGAAAAATTCTTAATTTGGAGACATGCTTATGTCTAAATCACAATTAAGACAAAAACATGCTTTTGAGACCAAATTAGTCTGGGAAGCTTTCTATAAGTCACAATTTTGTCAAAGACTTATTCCAATGCACAACTATGGCTAAGACTCTTTCTAAGTCACCATTTAAAGACAAACTCATAAGGCATAATTATACCAAAGACACTTTTCAAAGTCACACTCTAAGGCCCAATTCTAACTAAAACCCATGCCTAATCCATAGCAAGACATGATCCAAATCACAGTTCTATGTCACAGTTACTTTTGAGACACTATCTAAGTCAAAATTCTAAGTCCCAACTTTGTCAAGACTCATTTTAAGTCACAATTCGAAGAAAAATTTGTACTTTAGAGACACTTTCTAAGTCACAATTATGTCTAAGACACTCTTTAAGCCAGAAATATGCATTAGACACATTCTAAAACACTTTCTAAGTAATAAATATGTCTCAGACACATTGTAAGACTCAATTCTGACTAAAAAATATGTCTAAATCATGTTTTTTTTTTGGCTTCATTGTGTTTAAGCATTCTAAGTCACAATTCTATGCCTTTTAAGGTCTGAAACACCGTTTCATGTCACACTTATGTCTATTTCACAGTTGTCTGACTTAATTATATTTAAGGCCCATTCTGAGTCACAGTTCTAATTCACAATAATTTCAAAGTCTTACTTTTCAGATCAATTTGAGTCCAGGACACTTTTTAAGTCAAAATTCTGAGTCACAAAAACATCTTCTCAGTCCCTATCAATTCTGTATCATTTTTTAGGCTCACATGCATAATACACATTGTTTTTCACAGTTCTAAGTCGCAATTACCTCACAGCCATACTTTTCAGACCCAATAATGTCCAAGACACTTTCTAAACCATACATCTGAGACAAACCTGTCCCTTTTTAAGTCATGTTTTGTATAAGTCTTAGCTTTACGTCTAACACACACATTCTTCTTAATCACAAGCAAAAGTAACAAATATGTCTAAGCCTGTTTCTGGAGACAAATTTATGTCTAAGACTCTTTCATAAGTCTCAAATTATAAGTCACAATCATTTCTCAGTCGCATTTTTCTGGTTCAGAACTTCAGTTTTGTACGTGTCGACATGACTTTGATACAATTGTGACTTTAAATATTTAAAGACATCATTGTAACTTGAGTTACAAACATATCACATTAATTTTTTTTGTAGTACAGCTTCAGTGTCATTTTCAAAATCCAGCCGCGTCACGCAAAAATATTTATTTAAATCTTATATTCAAGTGTTATTTAAGTCTCAATGAAAATGTTTGTGTCGTTCCATGAACGAGGGTCTATCCAACGAAAGTCTCTGCAGATTCCTCCGATAGTACTCCAATGATGCGATTATAATTCTTCTTAAAAATTACCTACCAACAAGTTATAAGTACAGGGTGTCCCACGAAACATGACAATAGCAAGACAACTTGAAAGTCGTCTTTGGTATTTGAATTTATTTGTGACATTTAGTCTTCTATCTACTTTAACATGTTGTTGTCTTGCTAAGGCACAAGATTCTGACGATGAACAGATAGACAAGGTATAACCCACAAATCAAAATCGATAATGCAGAAAATAAATAAAAGCAAAATTGTCGAAATCTGAACGAAATTCTTCATATCTCGGGCAATATTGGAAGCACAAAAAAGGCAGACCACATTTTGGAAATGGCAGGACAAGGGAAATTTTGTGATTATTATCTCTAGAAATTTACTTCTAAAATTAGGTCGAAAAATAAACGCAGCAAATTATATCAAAAATCAAGACGACATTCATGTCGTCCTGCATACTGTCATGTTTCGTGGGACACCCTGTAGTTTTAGACAAAAAATCGAATGGTATGATTTTATTATTTAAGGTTTAACTGAGGTTGAAATATAATTTATGGGCCGAGCGCTGTGGCTATGTCAGTCTAGGAGATGCTATTGGGCCGGTGGCACTGCGGCCAGAATTCCATCTAGCAGCTAAGACTGAACGCATTTCACGACGCTAAAAAATGTCGCCTTTACAAAAATCTAAATTCCCAAGTTTTGTGAGCGACGAATTATTTGAGACTGAGCGCTGAGTCGGACAATAACCTTGCTGGAGCGGCTTTGCCGGAGAGAGAGAGAGAAAGAGAGGAATACAGCTGAATAGTGAATAGAACCCTTAGTGAGGCACTGTAGTGGACCAACATGGCGGGTAAACTGTAAATAGAAACGGCAACTGCGTGTTAATCGGAAACGGGAAAAGTACTGTTACCAAGAAAACAACCGTGATCCAAGACTGACAACATTTAGTAACTCTTTGTCATCACTTTTCGTAATTAATTCTTGATTTTGTTCCTTGAGTTTGTTATTGTTAACCGTATGTTTTCATTTTTTTCAGAGACAAAACTATGTGAAAAATTAGAAGTGAATAACATTTTCGGCCCGGCCTTTTGTCTCTACCTCGTTCTTAATCTTTTAAAGTTCCTTGAATTTTTTACTATCAATATTGTAAATACGCATAAACTACGCAATTCAACAACTTAAGAAGATACAACATATAAACAAACACCTATACAACGTAAGTATATTTCTTAATACTTATTTTATATTTTTTACTGAGTTTGTGAAGTGGATATATTATTATTTTATATCAAGATTAGAAAGAATTTATTCGAAAATTAATTCAGAAATCAAATTACTCTAAACTGTCGAAACTTTTTTAGTATTTTTATGTATTTTAACGTTTTTGTTGCATGGAAGATATTATCAATGCATACATCGGTCGAATTTGGAATTATCGACCCAATATTCACGAACCCCATGCGTGACTTCGCTCCTATCAATTTTGTACATTTAGAATTAGTTTACACTGAAAATACTTTAAGTTTAGTTCTGTCCTAAAAGTGTTTCTTACGTATCAATATTAATGCAGGGGTGTATTCAGGGAAGTACCCTGGTAATTTTTACCAGAACTATTTTTGGACCCCTCCCCCCCCCACCTTCTTTCAATTTTGTACATGGATCTCATATGTCACATGGATGGTCACATCACCTTTCCCCCTAGCCTGTCCTAGCCGCAGCGCTCGGCCCAGAAATTGTCTTAACCTAACCCTATAATAACAAGCAAATATTAATTTTACTCAAAAATAAGTGGTCATGCACAAAATTGATAGGAGGGGGGGGGGGGTCCAAAAATTATTCTCTCGGACAGCCCCAGTACCCCCTCCTTGTGGGGAAATAATTTTTGAATGTAAATTGTCCAAACTTGCAAAAAAAGGTTTTACTCTCACAGGTAGAAAAACTCGGGATTGGAAATTAATTTCGATATATTTTATATCCTCTTCAGTCCTACAGAAAATGACCAAAATTATTACAAATTGAAAATAAAGTTAATGTAACAAATAACTTTCTAGAAATTTATAAAAAAGTAAGCTAATTAGGGGAGGTGGTTTTTTTAAGTGGAATGAAAAAATGAAAAGTGTAAAATAATAATAATAATTTTTGAAGAGCTGGGGGGGAAAAAAGTTTTTTTAATCCGTATTAATAATTAATACCCAATAATTTATTTGTTTTCTCCCATTATTCATTTATTTTTTCCATTTCTGCGAATTAAACCCTAAAACAGGCTGAGGCTTTTTAATTGCACTTGAATTATAAATTCATGTTTAAATATTCAGGTTTAGAATTGTGTTATGGTGAATATATTAATATTATAATATTCTAGTTTGGTGGTATGGTGATTACATTAATATTATAATATTATAGGGTTCAATAACATCTATCTCCGCAATTTAATCTTTGCCGATATAGCTTTTTGTTGTTTTCGTCTACACATTTATTAAAACCAAAAAATCAAAATGTACATATCGTTTATATATATATAAAGTTTGTTTTTATTTGTTCCTGTACTTTTTGATCAATAAATAGATTTGAATAATAATAATAATATTATAGGTGTAGCATGGTGGTATGGTGAATATATTAATATTATAATATTCTAGGTGTAGAATGGTGGGATGGTGAAAATACTANATATTAATATTACAATATTCTAGGTGTAGAATGGTGGTATGGTGAATATATTAATATTATAATATTCTAGGTGTAGAATGGTGGTATGGTGATTATATTAATATTACAATATTCTAGGTGTAGAATGGTAGGATGGTCAATATATTAATATTATAATATTCTAGGTGTAGAATGGTAGGATGGTCAATATATTAATATTATAAAATTATAGTTGTACAATGGTGGTGTGGTGAATATATTGATATTATAATATTCTAGGTGTAGAATGGTGGTATGGTGAATATATTAATATTCTAGGTGTAGAATGGTGGTATGGTGAATATATTAATATTATAATATTCTAGGTGTACAATGGTGGTATGGGGAATATATTAATATTACAATATTCTAGGTGTAGAATGGTGGTATGGTGAATATATTAATATTATAATATTCTAGGTGTAGAATGGTGGGATGGTGAAAATACTAAACAATATTATTTCCAGCAAGGAATGTTCATTTCTCCCCACACAGGTATGTTTTGGTTTTGGGATTATGCACTGTTGATGCAAATTCTTTTAGCCCTTCATTTAAATGATCCCCAGTGCCAATACATTACAGGGAAATTAGCGAAAGCTTGGCAACCATGGTATTAATGTTGTGATTAATTATTGTTTTTAATCCTAATTTAAAATTTTGCCAGTAAATTAACAAAAAATCGAGTTTTCTTATAGAGAAATTTGTATGTGAAAAAAAGAAACTTTTAAGGTATATAGTTCATCAAGGGAAAACAGATGAACATATTTTAATTGAAATATTTTATTTTCCACCGTAGGAAATGGGGGGAAAGCAAGCCACACCCGTAGCGCTTCCTATCCACATTTTATTAACAAACATAGACTTGCCGCATAGCGCTTCCTTAGCCACACCCAAATAGCTTCGGTGAAAATGTCACTCTTAAATGCTGTTTTAAAGAGGAATGCATCGTTTATTTCAGATTCTGAAGACGTCATGGCATCTTTTATAACCTATATTCATTTAACATAGTTTTATTTGGTAATATAAGTAAAAGTTCTGGCTCATTGGACCAAAAGTTGTTAAAATTGTGATCGGAACAGTGTTTCAGTGTAAATCTTGAGCTGTGGCATGTGCTCTAACCCAAATAGCTTCGATTCCACACTGTAAAGACGACCTGAAACTATTCAAATTTGAGGATTCCCAGGTTAAATTAAGTCTTTACCTTGAGTATAACCTTTCTATGGCTTCATCAATGATTCGGCAAAAGAAAAGAACAAGTTTACAGTGGCAGGAAATCATAAATATAAAAAAGGCCATATGTAAAGACGATTTTTTCCAAGAATTTAAATATTTTTATACTTTTATATGCCTTAAGAAGTAGTTACAACAAAATAGTTGCGTGGGGGTATATAGTATTGTGAAACTAAGTTATGAAACTAAGGAACTTTCTTCCTGAAAATGCATTAATTTTTAATATAAATTAGGTTTGCAGTTTTCTTGCGATTCCCTCATTAACCACAATTTTTCGTATATTTGGGCTGATGTTAATCTTCTTTAGACATGTTTTTGAAATTGAGGAGAAGTTCAATCTTTTCAAGAAACAATTTAGTTTTGTGAAGGATAAAACTCTATTTTGTATCGATTGACGTCGCGTGCCGTTGCCAAATGGGAGTTTATTAGTCATTTACGGATGAAATTAGGCATTTAAAATTAAGACATTTTGCCGGTAGCTATTTCGGTGTGGCTAAGGAAGCGCTACGGGTTGCTTGCCTTCTCCCCTCGTAGGTATTTTGCAATTTGCATCTTTGCAATCTCGCTCCTAAAATGTTCTGCGTAAATACTTGAACTGATATGGATAGATAGTCAGATAAGCAGAAAATAGATAAACTTAATTAGATAGATAGATTGGGAGTATTTTTAATGGCTAATTTGATAAGATTGTGTTTGAATAAACAATGTTTACATTATCAATGAATAGCGGTTGAAGAAGTAGGATGGGGGTATGTTTATATTAGAAAGGAAGGAGGGGGTGGGGTAGTTTGTTGCTTTCTTTATTCAAGCAGGTGTTTACATTTTAGGAGTAAGTTTTTATTTTTTCGGTGATCAATAAAGCAGTGCTTAGGATTCGGATCCGTTGGATCCACAAGACTTTAGCTTTCTGGATCCGGATCCGCTGAAAAATGCGGATCCGGATCCAGGGGTATCAACCAAAAACTGCAAAAAATAACTTTTTTACTCTTAAACCCCAAATCTTAACTTTTAAAAAAATGGGAGAGATTATATAAATTTTCCTCATTTAAGCGAAAAAAATAAAATAATATTTGAAAATTATTTCTTGTTTAAAAATTCAGTATCCGCATAAAAATTAAATGGATCCTAAGCACTGGTTGTAAATATGAAAATTATATATCATTTGACAATCTTATGATCTTCAATATACTGCTGTAGTCATGAAATATCCACTTATTATATTTTAAGTAGAATCTGATACGATACAGAATACTAATCTCAACCCCCGAGCTGGTTTCGTGAGTCTTTTGTGCTTATCGATCGAAATATAAATATTGACATCGATAGATTTTGTAATATTTTAAAAAACGCTTTTTTTTTAGGAAACAACAGTTCCAGTACTTCTCTTAACGTTAAGAAGCGCCGAGTGGAGTTGGGTGTGTGCGGGGGTGGGGGCGCCCCTCCCCCCGCTCACAGTTTAGGCTACCACCCTCCTTCTGTTATTGTTGCATCGGAAAGACACACCAACGGCACCAGGTAATTAATTGATTTATCATCCTAAATCTTCCAAATTAATTATTTACTGCATTTGCGACTAGTCGTGGGGTCTGTCCCCTCCTATCAATTTTCTACATTTGGTAACTTTTTTCAGCAAAATTATTATTATTTATTTATTATTATTTTAGTGTAAGGTTAGGTTAGGTTTAGCCAATTTCTGGACCGATCGCTTTGGCTAGGGCAGGCTAGGGGGCCGAGCGCCGCGGCTAGGATAGGCTAGGGGGCCGGGCGCTGCGGCCANTTCAAAAATTGTTCTCTAGGAATTGTCGTGTACACTTTTCAAATTTCCAACTGAAAAAATCCACAAAAATACTAATGAAAAATTCGCGAATATGTTTTCAACTGAAGAGAATAAGGTTTGTCACTTAACATTATTATTTTTGACACTTTGAGTCTTTGTTTTCGACCATGTTTTTCCTTGCGACACGTTTTTTCCTGAAACGATGCGGCGCAATTTTAATCAAGATTTTTCCTGATTTTAATTCCTTTTGTTTTAATGTTATGTTGATCAAATCAATCAGCGGCTTTATCGAGAAATGGAATTAAAATGCAACAGGCCAAGTGCCTTAAAATATCGGGGTTATTGGTTCATATCTTTAATTAAGACGAAATATAATTTTGTAAAATCAAGAATAATAACTTTGCGATCGAATTCGAAGTCGACAAGTAAAGTGTTCGAACGCAAAGAAACCCCTTTTCCAAGAACGTAAGTTTACATTTTCATTTCCTTATGTTCCATATAAATCTATTATATAAATGTTTACATAAGCATTATGCATCCAGTCGGTTTTAGCGCAGTGTCATGTCATCAAAAAAATCTAATATTTGATGGATTTCGAATGTCATCACTTGTTTAAATCTTATCTTAAAAGGACTTAATATTTAAATTAATCTTATACTTTTGGTTATTAATTTATTTCATGCCGTAGATCTATTATACCTTTTTGCTTTCTTGTGTATATAACTGTCTGTCTACCAGGCTTTTTGTATGTGAGTGGAGGGCTTCATTTTACACAAGTGATTCTTGCATCATCATTTCTCCAGCATTGATGTAATATCCTAGCATTCGTGTCATGCTTACCGTATACACACTGCATACACACTGCACAACTGCATTCACAACCAGACAATATACTTAATATACTCTAGCATTGATGTGATATCCTAGCATTCGTGTCATGCTTACCGTATACACACTGCATAAACACTGCACAACTGCATTCACAACCAGACAATATACTTAATATACTTTAGCATTGATGTGATATCCTAGCATTCGTGTCATGCTTACCGTATACACACTGCATACACACTGCACAACTGCACATTTACAACCAGACAATATGCTTAATATACTCTAGCATTGATGTAATATCCTAGCATTCGTGTCATGCTTACCGTATACACACTGCATACACACTACACAACTGCACATTCACAACCAGACAATATACTTAATATACTTTAGCATTGATGTGATATCCTAGCATTCGTGTCATGCTTACACACTGCACAACTGCATTCACAACCAGACAATATACTTAATATACTCTAGCATTGATGTGATATCCTAGCATTCGTGTCATGCTTACACACTGCATACACACTGCACAACTGCATTCACAACCAGACATTATACTTAATATACTCCAGCATTGATGTGATATCCTAGCATTCGTGTCATGCTTACCGTATACACACTGCATACACACTACACAACTGCACAATCACAACCAGACAATATACTTAATATACTCGTTTAACCTTTTTGAGATAAATCACTTTACTTTTTTTTAGAATTAAAACAGAACGCAGTAGTGGAGCCCCTGTTAAGAGGCGAGCAGGTACTTTTAAACTGTACATTATTTAGTTTTTTATTTTTTGGGGATGCTCTTGACGGGGAAAAAGAAATAAAGTTTTAGTGATAAGTTTAAAAAAAATCTTGCTTGTTTATGTCCAATTTAAAATTCGGTGTTCATAATAATCCAAACCTCAGAGTAAATAAACTAGTTGTTAGTTCCACATTTTTTAACATATATTTTGGTCGGGATTGACCTCTTTTCATAAAAGCCCCTCCCCCTCTCCAAATCTTCAAAAATTAAAAAATCGTAAATATACGACCCTTGGTTTATGCTGAAAAAAATTGAACTTGTTTGAAGATTTCATAACTTTGAGGAATTTATATATGATACGATGGTCTGAATCTTTGTTTTTTATTAATTTAAATTGAACATTTGTATGAGTTCCCTTTCTTTAACTCTCTTCTAGATTATTTGACAAAATAATAAAATATGTATTTTTAAATCTCTAAATTCTAAATAAATGTTTTTTATCTGAAGAGAGCATTCAAAGATTCAAAGAGGGGTTCCATTTTACCTTTATCGGTCCGGGTACCATTTAAACCTTAGTCAAATCAAGATCGACTAAAATATCCTCGTTCTCCTATAACAAAATAGATAATTTTAAAGGGAATGTAGGAGATGTCCTATTTAATGTAAGGGGGTGGGGGGTCCTGCCTTTATTTTTGGTTTAAATCATCCAATTTTTTGGCTGCACGCCTAATTAGTGATCTATTTTCCTAAAATAAAAATAATAACATTTGACACTTACGACCTCTAATGACCTATAATGACCTTGATAATTAGAAAAAAATTCAATTATGGCTTCATGCATATCAAACGAAAGCTAGGAACCCAGGCAATTCAGAAGTAGCATCGAATTCAGTGTTTGACCTTCTAATCACCTCTAACGACCTACGTTGCATTGTTTGATGTTGGGTGAAAAAAAATAATATTGAATTTTGTTTCTAGCCAAGAAAATGCCGACGAGTTTAACTTTGTGCGGGCCTACGAGTGCTTCACGCATAAGAACCACACCTGCCTCGTCTTCGAGATGTTGGAGCAGAATCTTTACGATTTCTTGAAACAGAACAAGTTTCAACCTTTACCTCTTAAATATATTCGTCCCATCACTCATCAGGTACAGTGTACACATAGGTTAGGTAAGGATCCATTTATTTTTTATCCGGATCCGGATACTGGAACCGTAGTTTGAACATATGGACCTAGTTCATTAATTTTTCTTTTAAAAGGTGCGTAGGATCAGCAACTGTTAGGCTTCTTGGATCCGAATCCGCTCGGATCCGTATCCAAGGGGATAATTGTTAACCTAAGCCTTTTAATTAAATAATCTCATTTCTTAAATCGCAAACTTAAATTTCCTAATCTCTTAATTGTTCAGTAAAAATATAAGCGAAAAACGAAGAAAAAGTTAGAAAGTTTTTTCTTCATTTAAACAAATTGAAAATCTTCTAAAAGTGTTTCGGGTTTTTGAACCGGATCCGTTTTTTTCAGGACGGATCCAGGGTACTGGTCCGAGTCCGTATCAAAATGAAATGGATCCTATGCTCCTAAGCACGGCTTTTTAAGTTCTGTGAAGGGGGGGGGGGCACAATACGTATTACTCCGGAAAATTTAAAAAGTGTTTAAACATAACTTAGAATTGTAGTAGAAAGCTGATTTTTTGCATGTGATCTATAAATTATGTATTCGGAGAATACAATATTAACAAGATTTTACTAACTTTTTTTCGTTAAGCCTTAAATAATCTCAAAATTTTATCTATTTTCTTCTAAATTTCACATTTGTGATATCTCCCTTAAAAATGTGCGTTTCGAGAGCCATACGTTTTTTTCACTGTTGAAATTTAGCAACTTTGATCCGGATCCGCATAACTTTGAGAATCTGGAATCACAAATGTGAAATTTAGAAGAAAATAGATACATTTTTGAGATTATTTAAGGCTTAACGAAAAAAGTTCGTAAAAGCTTGTTAATATTGTATTCTCCGAAATTCGCATGATTTGATTTGATTAAAATTTAAAGCTTTTAAGCATAACATTTTTTTATTATTCTTGAGAATATGCAACAATGACCTCATGTATAATGTACAATGTATATTGTTACATTTTGTAAACAGTTTTGAACTATAATTATTTACTAGGTTTTGACTGCTCTACTGAAACTGAAACAGCTTGGTTTGATCCATGCAGATCTTAAACCAGAGAATATTATGTTGGTAGATCCAACCCGTCAACCTTACAGGTAGATAATAGTAATATGTTGGTAAATCCAACCCGTCAACCATACAGGTAGATAATAGTAATATAATGCTGGTAGATCCGACTCGTCAACCTTAAAGGTAGATAACAGTAATATAATGCTGGTGGATCCAACCCGTCAACCTTACAGGTAGATAACAGTAATACAATGCTGGTAGATCAAACCCGTCAACCTTACAGGTAGATAACAGTAATATAATACTGGTAGATCCAACCCGTCAACCTTACAGGTAGATAACGGTAATATAATGCTGGTAGATCCAACCCGTCAACCTTACAGGTAGATAACAGTAATATAATGCTGGTAAATCCAACCCGTCAACCTTACAGGTAGATAACAGTAATATAATGCTTGTAGATCATACCCGTCAACCTTACAGGTAGAAACCAGTAATATAATGCTGGTGGATCCAACCCGTCAACCTTACAGGTAGATAACAGTAATACAATGCTGGTAGATCAAACCCGTCAACCTTACAGGTAGATAACAGTAATATAATGCTGGTAGATCAAACCCGTCAACCTTACAGGTAGATACCAGTAATATTATTCTGGTAGATCAAACCCATCAACCTTTTAGGTAGATATCCAGAAATATGCTGGTAGATTCAGATTTCAATTTGTCCTAATTCTGAGATATCTTATTCGCTCTTCTGAAAAAAAAAAAACATTTTTAGCATCAAAAAGAGCATATAAAACAGAGGACTAGATTTGTCCTTAAAATCGTGGTGGATGTAGAAGTCTGAGTTCATTAATATCTTGTATGATATCCTGCTCGTCAAATTAACTATATTGACATTTTTTGTAAATGCTGAGGGAAAAAAGTTTAATGTTAAGTTCTGTTTTACTTTTTAATCTGAAATGATTTGTTGAAACTAAATGTTCTCTCTCTCACTTTTCTAGGAATTGTTTAAACCCAACTTTATTGAATAAACTTTAATGTTGTCTGTAAATTGTAAATACGAGAGTACATCTATTCTAAAATTGTTTGTTTTTAGGGTAAAAGTTATTGACTTCGGAAGTGCAAGTCATGTGAGTAAAGCAGTCTGTAACACCTACCTTCAATCAAGATACTATAGGGCCCCAGAGATTATTCTTGGTAATAATATACTCTTAAAATTCAATTGTTTAGAATTCATTTTTATATTTCACACTTAATCAAACCAATAAAATAACTAAAATAAATCATTTCTCCCCCTCCCTACTTAAAAAATATTCTTTTGGGTAAAGTATTTAAGAGTGTAAAATAAACCAGTGCTTTTGATCCGGTTCCGGATCCGCAAAAATATGCGGATCACGGATCCGGATCCAAGGGGTAAATTATCAACCAAAACCTTCAAAAATAAACTTTTTTACTCCTAAACCCCAAATCTGAACATTTGAAAAAAGAGAGATTATAAAAATTTCCTCATTTCTGAATGGTTCATCAAGTTTTAGGATACAAGTAAGCGAAAAAAAAATAAAATAAAAGTTTGAAAATTATTTTTTGTTTAAGAAATTCAGTAAATCTTAAAGAAATGACCTGGATCCGGATCCGCATCAAAATTAAATGGATCCTGAGCACTGAAAAAAAAACTTTTCAGTTGAGGTCAAATTAAGCATTGAAATTGATTTTCCTTTCTTTTAATTACATGAATAAATCCCATAAATGCTTAATTTGTCCGAATTTCTGGCCTGGATTACACATGCTTGGGAACCCAGCTTTGCCTGATAACTGATCTTTTACAATACAAATCGACCCACTGAACTTAAAATTTGTAAGCAAAGTTGAAAATATTCTCGTCGTTCCCGATTAAAATTTGAAACAAATCTATCAAGGGGTTCCTGAGTTATGATCGGACAAACAATATACATAGATGATTGGGCTTTAATTGCGGATTTTGAGGCTCTGATTATTTAGAAATTATGCTTTTAGCGTTTTATGCTTCACCGATTTTTTCGTACATTTTGGTGGGCTTCATTTTATAAAATAAACGCCTTGACAAAGTTGAGATTATTTATATTTATTCAATCCTTGACTAGGTCTCCCGTTCTGTGAGGCGATAGATATGTGGTCCCTGGGTTGTGTAGTAGCAGAACTATTCCTGGGTTGGCCCCTGTATCCTGGTAGCAGTGAATATGATCAGATCCGGTATATATCCCAGACACAGGGACTACCAGCTGAACATATGCTCAATAACGCCAGTAAAACCGTCAAGTTCTTCTACAGGGATAGAGATACCAGCTATCCTTTCTGGAGACTCAAAACTCCAGAAGAACATGAAGGGGTGAGTTTAAATCACTTTTTTTTCCAAAGTTGTAAATATTTAAAACTGTTTTAGAAACTTTAAATATTTGATGAATTTGCTAACTTAAGTGCATTCTTTTATAGTTGAAGCCAGCCAAAAGTTTAAATGTCTTTATTATTCTATGATTTTACGTTAAATTTCAGAAGATCGCTGTCAGGCATTTTTTATGCTAATAGTTATTTTAATATTCTGGTGTTAAGAGAACAATGTGTAGTTGAGAAATATATCGAGATTAAGGAAAGGGAGATAAAAATTAGGACGTATACCTTTAAATTTTGGAAACAAAGATGAGTTCAAGGATGTTTAGGAAACTAAGATGAAGACTGAAGAGTAAGGAGGCTTGGAAGAATATATTGAATTTTTAGGAAACTATGATTGAAAGTAAGGAAGTTAGGAAATATATCTTGAATGTTTAGGAAACTAAGATGAAGAGTAAGAAAGTTAGGAAGTATATCTTGAATGTTTAGGAAACTAAGATGAAGAGTAAGGAGGCTAGGAAGTATATCTTGAATGTTTAGGAAACTAAGATGAAGAGTAAGGAGGTAGGAAGTATATCTTGAATGTTTAGGAAACTAAGATGAAGAGTAAGGAGGCTAGGAAGTATATCTTAATGTTTAGGAAACTAAAATAAAGCGTAAGGAAGTTAAGAAGTATATCTTGAATGTTTAGGAAACTAAGATGAAGAGTAAGGAAGTTAAGAAGTATATCTTAATGTTTAGGAAACTATGATTGAAAGTAAGGAAGTTAGGAAATATATCTTAATGTTTAGGAAACTAAGATGAAGAGTAAGAAAGTTAGGAAGTATATCTTAATGTTTAGGAAACTAAAATAAAGCGTAAGGAAGTTAAGAAGTATATCTTGAATGTTTAGGAAACTAAGATAAAGAGTAAGGAGGCCAGGAAGTATATCTTGAATGTTTAGGAAACTAATATGAAGAGTAAGGAAGTTAAGAAGTATATCTTAATGTTTAGGAAACTAAGATTAAGAGTAAGGAAGTTAGGAAGTATATCTTAATGTTTAGGAAACAAAGATGAAGAGTAAGGAAGTTAAGAAGTATATCTTGAATGTTTAGGAAACTAAGATAAAGAGTAAGGAGGCTAGGAAGTATATCTTGAATGTTTAGGAAACTAATATGAAGAGTAAGGAGGCTAGGAAGTATATCTTGAATGTTTAGGAAACTAAGATAAAGAGTAAGGAGGCTAGGAAGTATATCTTGAATGTTTAGGAAACTAAGATGAAGAGTAAGGAGGCTAGGAAGTATATCTTGAATGTTTAGGAAACTTAGATAAAGAGTAAGGAGGCTAGGAAGTATATCTTGAATGTTTAGGAAACTAAGATAAAGAGTAAGGAGGCTAGGAAGTATATCTTGAATGTTTAGGAAACTAAGATAAAGAGTAAGGAGGCTAGGAAGTATATCTTGAATGTTTAGGAAACTAAGAAAGAGTAAGGAGGCCAGGAAGTATATCTTCAACTGTCTGGAAGATATGGGCCAGGTTAATGTTCCCACAGATCTTGAGAGAGGTGAACTTCTGGCAGAGAAGGTTGATAGAAGAGAGTTCATTGATCTACTCAAGCGGATGCTAACTATGGATCAGGTTAGCTTCAAAATAAACTAATACCAGAAAAAAACTCAATTTCGCAAAAGGGGGGTTTATGAAAAGATAGAACTAACCCATCCCATCATTGATTTAGTTTGATTATAACACACGGGGAACAAATTTAAATTTAGAGATATGAACTTTAATTCAGCTTTGTCTTATATCATATTGGGTTTATTTTTCATTTCTAGCTTCTATGAAATTTAAAGGATAGATAAACCCTAAGTCCATTATTTTTTAATTTAGGAGAGAAGAATAACGCCGAGTGAGGCGTTGAATCACCCCTTCGTTACAATGGCGCACATGGCGGATTACGCGCACTGTTCCAACGTAAAGTCGAGCGCGCAGAAGATGGAAATCTGTAAACGATCTCCAGTAACCCCTGCGCAAACTCACGCCGCTGCAGCTACTTTAATGGCGGCGGGAGTTCGAAGTGGAAACGTGACCCTGACCTTTAACAACCAATTGAGTCGGTCAGCAGCATCGGTGGTGAATGGACGTGCAGTGTTGGAGAGATCAGCGGCGTACGATGCGCATTTCCAGGCTGCTAGCGCAGCACAGTTGGTTCCTGGTGCATTACTACCTGTACCCAGCTATCCAGCAGCTTCTCCTACAGGAAACCGGGGAGCTGTTGTGGCAGTTGGTGGAGGACTTGGACAGGTACATTATATCCGCTAACCGCTCAGTCAGTCAAGAGACCCTCTAATTATTGAGTGTAAAGTCCGATTCACATTTCTATTGATCTATTAGGCCTGAGTTATTCTAGGTATTCAGCCTTAAAATTGATTATTTTAAATATTTCTTTTTGAAATAACTAACGGATTTCTGCATCAGTGGAAAATCCTAAATCAGATTTTAACACTTGGGTTCGAACAGCGACGAATATCTCCTAATTGTTACCAAGTTAAACGTTATAAAAGTACAGTTGTGGACCGGACCTGCAAATTGCAAGTCTTTGATCGAGGAGCCACTTAAAAATACGTTTTCAGCTACTTGAGTTTTATAGAGAAAACATATATATGGATTGTGGAGGACAATTCCCCAAGCCGATTTTATTTTACAAGAACGCCTTGTTAGGCTAATTCATAATTCAATAAATTTGATATAAATAAATAATATTTTTGTTGAATTGTAGGTTCAGCAGTATGTACCAGTAACAATGGTTGAGCAAGGAGGAAGGTTAATGGTTGGAGCAAGTTGGGCAGCTTCCTCAGGTAGACAGATGGCTCTAGTTCCATCCTGGCAGCAGCTTCAGCAGCCTACTCTACAGCAGCCTAGTACTCTATTAGTTCCTGCAGATGAGTGGAGGCGACCTCTACTGGCAGATAATGCTCAAGGAATCAGAATTGCTCAAGGTTAAACCTTTTATTTATAAAAACTAAGATAGTAAACATACATTATACAATATACATAGTTTTCAACGTATTAAATTACATTACTTTTATCTAGATTTATTGTTGAAGTTGAGACTTTAATCAAACTGCATTTTTCTTTTAAATAAATCAAACTTCGTTTAAAGCGGGATTGGGGTGTACAGGTTTCTATAAGAAGTCTTAAATAAATAAATTATACAAAAATTAAAGGTAATATATTAGATTTAGTAAACGTATATGCAAGCTATTTCATACGAAAGTTTTGACCTCTTGGAATAGAAATAAACCTGAAATTAAACTGTCAAATAAAGTGCCATTTCCTTTTGATGTGGATGGATCCGGATCCTGCATCCGCCCTGCAAAAAAAAATTGGATCCGGATCCAGGTCTTAAATATTTCTTTTAACAAAGAAGAATTTTCAAATAATTTCTTTTGTTCCCTTATTTGGACGATGAAACTCGATTAAACTATTCAGATTTGGGTTTTAAGCGCAAAATATGTTTTTCATACAGCTTGTTGATATTTTTCCCTTGGATTCGGATCTGGATTTTTGCGGTTCCGAATCCAGGGAGCAAAAATGTTGCGGATCCAACGGATCCGGATCCTAAGCACTGGAATAAACCTTAACTAATTTCTAGATCCTGGAATTTTTCCTGTAATGTATGAACGACCTCTGGTCCGAGATAACACCCGGAGCAGTAGTTTTAGCTCCGGAGCTAAACGTTCTACTAAACCTGTCCAGCAGCATCAACAGCAGCATCAGCAACAGCAGGGTAGATACGTGAAGAAGGAGATGACTCAGCTTTCTCCTGTCAAGAAGAGGATCAAGGAGAATAAGGATCATTATATTGGTGAGTTCTTAATTCTATTATGTGATTTGTACAATGTTCGACGATTTTTTTTACGAAAAACAAATTTCTTTATTCTTCAATGTATAAACAACTTCCAAAGTCAGCTCAGTTTTATGTTTCTATCCCCCCCCCCCCCTTGTAAGGAAGTAAGGTTATAAATTAACAATTGTTGAATGTTTCTGACGGTATTTTCATCAGATCCCTTAAAATGTGCATACTGCATGTTTTGTTTTTTTAAATATGCATGATTTAGGTAGTTGTCATTTTTCATATTTTCCTTTATGTCTTCTTATAAACTTTTGGCCTGTCCGTCTGTTTGGATCCAAAAATAAGGTCAAAAAGGCTGAACCGGATATTTTTTACAGATAATACATAAAAATTAAAAGTTAGTCTAAAAGAATTGACGATTTTCTGAAACGGCGTAAAAGAAAAAGTCTAATATTGTTTATTTGTAAGAAGTAAAACCCACTCTGGAATGAATTCCATATTTTAAAGGTGTTGGTTTAAATGAGCTATTTTATGGAATTAAACTGAAATTTTTTTTTATTCCTCAAGTGAAACTATAAAGCCTGAGGTTCAAAAATGTAAACCTGAAATTTTATTTAAAAAACTTTTTTTTCCCGCCACCCAGTTTCATTGTATTGTTTATTTTATCCGCCATTAACCATTGTATCCACTAGGTTGGGTTTTATACAATTCATCCAGCTCAATAAGAAATACAACTTTTATGGTTAAAATTGTTCCTTCTGCAGGTTTATTGTCAAATTGCTAAAAAAAAAGTGTTGTATTGTATTTAATATATTTAATAGTTCCGCGGAACTGGCTTTTACTCATCATGATAAACAAATTTACACAAAGAAGGTCAGAAGTTGTAAAATGCACTGTCAATCTAGATTGTTCAAGCACTGAAAAGTGAACAGTTAAATAATTTCAATTTCTCAAAATAAATAATTTCTCATTTTTGAGAAATTATCAATTTAACTCTTTTGCTCCACACTTAACACAAGATTTTATAAAGCAGCCACGAGCTAAAATTCCTTTCATTTGATTTGAGTAACTGTAAAGGGACTCACGTTGTAATATTATGTGACCCATAGGCCTTAAAAGAGAGAAATGCCTAAATCACGACAGTACCTTGAAAACCATAATCTAATTGAAAATGTCGAAGATATTGTAGTGTCTTTCATGCTTGAAAACTATAATCATTTTTATTCATTTTCTCCATAAAAAAAACAGAGGCACTGTCTGATCAAGAATGAATATCAGTTTACAGTAAAACTATTTTTTTTCATTATAAATAAATTTGAGCATTTGCTAGCCGCCTCCCCCACTGGCCTAGTGGTTAGTTTTTTTTTCAAAAGTTTGAACCTCAAATAGGACGGAGGGAAAATCTTTGATTTTTGATGCGCACAAAAATACACGCCTTTTACTCTGTTAATCTTGATGTGTTAGTTTTTTTTATAATAGAATTTTTTTATTTCTGGAAGTCACCAATGTCCAACACATAAGTTTAAATAATCGTGAGCATTTTTATGTTTATTTTTATTTTGTAAATCTTTTGCTTTCCTTTACTTTTGAAATTTGATTGAAAGTAAATATTCTGATTGTTTCCATTGTTCACATCCTTTCCAAACTAAACACGAAAATGAGATACCTTCCGAAAAGTTTAAATTTATTTTCTTCCAAAACATGACCTCCCCCTCCCTTATCTGTTTTCCCGTAATAGTTTTAGTATGATTGATAAATTGACAAGGTTTTGGTTGAATTTGTTTGATTCAAATCTGTATCATTCAAGTTTTTTTGTTTATTTATTTGAAAGTGACATTTTTTGTAACTCCTCGTGACCCTCCATTTTATTAATCAATGCTCGAATTATGACGTCACTAACCCTAATTTGACCTATTGTATGGAGGAGTTATTTCACATTTTCCCCATGAAATAGAGAAACTATCAGATAACACTTTTAAGGACAACGTTGTGAATCAGACATGACATTTGATAAATGGAGAAGCAATTAGCGTCTATTCTTTATAGTCTATAGTTGAAGTTCCTTATAAGTTTGAATCTGTATCTGTGTATTTTATAATTTCTCTGTTGTTTCAGTGGCTGAAAACTACTCTGGCCGGCCTACTAGCTGGGAGAAACCAATCTCCGCCAACAATGGTCCTCTAGAGGTTATCACGATATCGGATAGTGAGGACGAGGCCGGACCGGAAATAAAATCTGCCCCATCAGCCGCCGACGTTTCCTCCGGCCAGACTTCCGGTTGTCCCAGCGTTTTGACCCTGACCCCGGTAGCCGCTCCTCCGGCAGACTCTGAACCACCGAGTAATGTGTCAACTCCTAGAGCAGGTTCATGTGTAGCGGAGTCAGGTAAAACTCCGATCAAGGTTGAACCAGTTACCGAGATTACGCCAGGCATGAGTCAGAAGAAACGTCTGCTCGCTAAGGCGCAGAGTGAATGGATTCAGGTGGATCCAAAGACTGAACCTGAAGTTTACTCGGAGAGGGGGAAAGGAGCTCGGCACAGCAGCTACGAGTATCTGGATAGAACTAGAGATGTCCGGTTTGAGAGAGAGGAACGGGAGCGTGCCAGGTTGGATAGGGAACGGGAAGAGCGTGCTAGACTTGACCGTGAGCGCGAAGAGCGTGCTCGAGTTGATAGGGATCGCGAGGATCGTCTCCGGATGGAGCGTGAACGAGACCGAATAGATCGCGAGGAAAGGCTTCAAAGAGAAAGATTGGATCGGGAGAGAATGGAAAGAGAAAGAGCTGAGTTTGATTATCAGACTGCTGCACTTGCTGCTCGAGAACGGGATATACGAGATCAACTGGCAGGAGTAGTTCCTCGTCTTGAACTTGGTCCTCCCCTAGCTCATCAATCCGAGTACGATGTTCACCGTGGTGTTGAGTATATTCAACCTCCCGCTGCACATACTAACCGAGACCTGCTCGCTATACACCGAGCCGGTCAACATTTTGCCCACGGATCCCCGGCCCACGAGAGTCTCTACGCTCCCGCTACCGTTTATGTTACTGCTGCTGGTTACCAACAGATAGCTTTCCCTCCTCCCGCACACCATGCTCGTCCCGTCCTCCCGCCCCAGATGCAGCCTGCTGCTGTATTCCAGCATCCTCCCCTCCATCCTCAGTATGGATATGCTCCCTTGAGTCCTGGTAAAACCAGATACCTTTACTAGGGTATACTAGTAAACAAACTCTTGTAAATATATAGTGCAGCTGGGGGCTCCACACATACTTTTAACTCTTGGTTTAACATTTTTTCTATTTTTCTACCGTAATCGTTAAACCAAGCTTAAACCAGCTTTCTACTACAAATTAACTTTCTTGAAAATTAATAATTATTACAAAATACATTCAGACAAAAATCCGTAAAAAATAGATTCGCCATATTTCCAGTTTTCAGTCCTCTACCCTGGTGAGTCTTTTTCAAGAAAACTTAACAAAATGATTTCTCGAGGTTTATCTTTTAGATCAATCTTTAACTCTTCTTCTGGAGATTTTATATTGTTGTTCAGTGTTTGAATAATTCTGTTAGTGGGTTTTAATATTGTTCTCTTGTAATTCTGTATTAGATTACACTAATGATATAATGTATTACTAATTATAAATGTTCACTGCTATTGGTTAATTATAATTAACCAGAAGGTTGTGTTTTAACGTCCAGTCTGCCCCCAGCATCTTGCTTTGATATATATCTATTAATATCTAATATTCATGTAAATCTATTAATATGATAATTAAGTATACGGCAACTCTAGCGCACTCCATGGATATATTTCAATGTTTTCCGATTCTTGGAGAGATTGTTGTCATTTTATTACATATTTAATCAACACCATTAGAAGGCTTAGCTCCAGGCAGAAGCCTAACACTAAGCAAATGTCGAAAATATAGAAGCTAGCCGTCTTATTATATTCATGTATCCTTATTGTTAATAATCTATATACGTTTCCCTTAATCAACATTTTATCAGAAAACGGTCAAAAAAACTCCAAAAAAAATGTAGCTTAGGGCACGGTTATCTGACGTAGTCTTCGGACAGACTAATATAGTGTTTAATTCCCTTTAAATATATTTCTATATATTCAGTGTTAGTACAAATAATCACCTTGTTATAATTTTAAGTGTTAAAGCTTGTTCGCTCAATCTTTGGGAGTATTTTAGGCCTCGCATTATATTCTCCTTTTTCAAGCATTGTGATGCAGGAGAGGTTTTCAACGTTAAATGTCTAGCGCTGGTTTCTAATATTCCCAAATGCAGGTTTAACCAATGTTTTATTGTTCCTAATGTATTGTGTTACCACGTAATTTCATATTATTGAAGAAATCTTTTTATCCGTCAATAATAATATTAACTTCGTTAATCCCGGAAATTTTCCATTGTGTGATATTGTACAATAATTAAAATTCGCTATAATTATTAATTCTTCATCAATTGTAGAAAATATTCAACATGCCTTAGATGTAAATTAGACTTAATATTAATCTTATTTTAACCTGTGTAGTCAAGGAAACCTTGATTCTTCTTTCTCACACATATTTAATATTTCACAATTTATTAAAATCTACTTATCCAACTGAAAACGTCCCATTTTATTTGATCTCAAAGTATAAGAAAAAAAAAGAAAAAAAATAAATTCCAAAGAAAAATTTTGAAATCAAACCTGAACAAATGGAGTTTAGTTTTTCAAGAGTTGAATCTTGAAACTAAACTAGAATATTCTGTGATTTATCTTTAGCGTTGTAGATACTAGTATGTAAGGTGGAGGGAGGGTATACCCTGGACTCAATATATTCTATATTAATAGATGCATTATTCCACCCTGTTCACTGTGTCACAGTATACCCACCCCTGTATCCACTAATTGTTCATGTTCACCATAATACTGTCAATAAATGTTGGGTATAATCCAATTATGTTATTTAAGTCTAAAACTTCCTTACTTTGAGTCTTGACGGGACAAGTCAAGTCAAGTTACCTTCCATGCGAAGATGGCAATGCCAGATTCACAACGGTACCCATGAAACATTTATCTGATCAATCAGGTAAAAAATGTAGTTTTTCTAGATTACTAATTTACCAGAGACAAGAGAGTTACATAGATCGATTAACACCTACAGGGTGTCCCACATCATATTAGACCGTCAACGGGTCTAAATTGCGATTTTCGGGACTAATAAGAAAATTTAATTCGAATAAATCAATTTGAAAAATAACATAAGGCTTATATAAGAATTTTCTTGCGGAAAATGATAAGTTCTTCAAGTATTAAGGGTTTATTTTGTCGTTAAAGATTAGAGATAATCTAATATGATATGGGACGCTCTGTATAATATGCGATATTTTCCACAGCATGTTAAATTGTGTACAAGTACTGTACACGACCAATCAGGAGACATCTGTATTCAGGGATATTTAAGGACCCTTTGAATAAGAAATGCAAAATCTTTAAAAATTGGCAATATTTATAAACGTTAAGTTTTATGTTTAAGATTGGAGTAATTCTTTAAAAGTTGTAAAACTTAACCCCTGAATGCAACAAGTGATGGTTTCTGTTTTCTCTAAATTAAATGTTAATAATTTAATGAATTTATTTAGTATTATACAGGTATATAAATAGGTAGGCTCATTCCTAGAATTCAATTTAAATGTCCAGATCTAGTTTTTGTATATGGTTTGGGGTTAGGTTTAAATCCAGACATTTTCTGGGCTGAGCGCCTACTGAAGATACAGCTTTATAATTAATTACTAAGCTTTAATTAAATTTACAGTGTACTGAAAATATTAGTAAATGTGAGAGTTATTTTGAGAAAGAACTTTTTAAGTTTCCCTAAACATTTCCCAGGTTTACAAAAAATGAGATATTTGACTAAACGAATTCTAGGAAATCGTCGAGACTTAAAATTTGAGTGTTAATTTCTTCTCTTGCTGTTATTCCCTCCTCTCCTTTTCCTGGATCCTAAAATATTAATATTTATGATACTGCTGTTCTGCTGTTGTGAATTTTTATCAGAAGATTATAAATTAGTACCCGAAATATCTGTTGTAATTTCTTGGTAATCAAGTCCATCTTGATCATCTCCTGCTTCAGTAGTGGATTCTACCTGAGCCTCAATATCTGAATAAATAAGACTTTCTGAAGTCGGGTTAAAATGTCGTCTTCTTTAGAGTAAAATGAAATTCTACCTCTCACGGTGTTGGTGAAGTCACCGGTCGGTTCTTGGAAGAGATTAGTGGTCTTCTCTTCCGTTCTAGGAAAATAAAGGGATTGTATTACATCCGCCCTACGATACTTCTGACCTGTAGTCGCACGTGGTTTTTCAGCAGCTTCTAGTTGCTGTTGGTCCAATGAACTATATTGTCGGATTCACACTCAATAGAAAAAAATTAGTGTATCCGACCTACTGTAGGTCGGTTGCACACTTAACTGCAAAGATTAGATACAGACCTTTTGTAGGTCGGATGCACAAACTTACTAGTAAAGCTTAAAACCTATTTGCTTTGTAACAACATTATAATGGCACTTGTGTTCCTCAAATTAAGAACAGTATGCAAGGGATTTCTTTTATCTTTGTAGATCCTTAAAATAAGAACAGTATGCAAGGGATTTCTTTTATCTTTGTAGATCCTTAAATTAAGAACAGTATGCAATGGATTTCTTTTATCTTTGTAGATCCTTAAATTAAGAACAGTATGCAAGGGATTTCTTTTATCTTTGTAGATCCTTAAATTAAGAACAGTATGCAATGGATTTCTTTTATCTTTGTAGATCCTTAAATTAAGAACAGTATGCAAGGGATTTCTTTTATCTTTGTAGATCCTCAAATTAAGAACAGTATGCAAGGGATTTCTTTTTTTATCTTTGTAGATCCTTAAATTAAGAACAGTATGCAAGGGATTTCTTTTATCTTTGTAGATCCTTAAATTAAGAACAGTATATGCAAGGGATTTCTTTTATCTTTGTAGATCCTTAACTTATGAACAGTATGCAAGGGATTTCTTTTTATCTTTGTAGATCCTTATATTAAGAACAGTATGCAAGGTATTTCTTTTATCTTTGTAAATCCTTAAATTAAGAACAGTATGCAAGGGATTTCTTTTTATCTATGTAAATCCTTTTGATTTCTTGTCTTGTCAGAAGCATGTTTAATTGGACCTTTCTGTTGGATTTGAAATATTAAAATAATAATTATATTCTACCTGAGCAGCTCAAGTCCTGCGTAACCATTACCAAACACCTTTTTAGAGTAACAAACACAACAAGAAGGGAATCTGGAAATCATAATAATTATAGATAGTGTTTTTCTTTCAGTGTCATTTAGATTTTTAAATTGAGGGTTAAAAGGGCACTTAAACTTTAAAAACTGAATTTACCGATTACAAACAGGGTGTCTCAAAAACTTCTAATTTAACTTGAGGGGAAAAAATTTGTTTACAAATTGCCTTTAATTGGAGTAAAAAGTGTGTGTGTACAGGGTGTCCCACGAAACATGACAGTTGGTGAATAGTTTTGAATGTATTCTTCCGTATCAAGTATTATATATTAAAGACTTGTTGCAGTTTATTTTGCTAAAAAATCTTATACTCAATTATATTTTGCTTTGAAATCAACTTTATTATAAAAATACTACCAAGCGATGTTTTTAATTTATTCTCTTTGGTATTAAAGAACTTAACAAATTATGACAGAAGAAAATTAAAACTATTCACCAACTGTCTGTTTCTGGACACTCTACACATGTTAATAATAAAAAAACTATAAAAAACCAATACCAAAACCATTTTTGTGGCATTAAAAAAAAATTTTGAATTTGTACAGAGATAAGTTACAGATGTTTTTCGTTATTATTGCGCATATTGCGAATGGCCCGCTTCTATAAAAATGTCCCCTCAAAAGTTCATTAATAATCGCAAAATGCTTAACCAACAATATAACGAGTGAAAGATAATCCAGGGAAGTTTTTATAACTTATTTAATTTCTAGGTTTAAGATATTTCTAGGTTTAAGATATTTCTAGGTTTAAGATATTTCTAGTATTATTAACGAAGTGTTCTATAAAGCTCTAGTTCTGGCCATGGCATTTTTTTCAGTCTGACATTAATAATTGTATGCCCGTGATAATACACTTTTTCATAATTACAACTTTGCAGTTAAAGAGACTGTAAGCGTAAAAATTAAGTGACCCTCCATGCAAAGATGGCAATGCCAGACTCACAACGGTACCTTTTTTAACCTTTCTCTGATCAATAATGTGGAAGATATTGTCGTTTTTCAAGATTTGAAAGTGTTTTATACTGATAATTTCTTTTTCCTGTAGTAAAATTGCGCAAGTATCGAAGGGAAGTCACAATTAAAATTATGGACATCTGTTTCATACTTGATCAGAGTAAGCTTTTGATCACTGAAATTATGCGTACATGGCCTTTTAACGAAATATCTATTATTAGTAAACAAGCTGCTTTGCAGGATAAATTGAATATATGGCAAACGAATAAATCTATTTCTACGTAATAAATCGAAACCAAGTTATTATCATAATATTAGGGATATCTCAAAAGTTTTTATATCTCTAAAATTCCGTTCGTTTTTTCGAAAAGTATTTTCAAAATGTTATCGTTAAGTTTTATATTATTAGGAAAATATTAGGATTTATTCTACGGGTGTATACTGTACCTGAATGAGTCTATATACTGCTGTCCAGTATCTGATAGAGCCAACATCTTCTTATAACTGTACTTCTGCCTGCACACTGTCCTACTCCCTGCATACAGGAATGTGCAATGTACATTACTTTTTTTAGGGTCAAAATTTGGCAAAATGGAAGAATAACAAATTTTCAAAAATTGTTTATTTTAGATAATTGGTTTTCGTACACTGGAAAATTTTGATCCTGACAGAAAATGTACTCAAAAAATCGGACCAATTAAACGATTTAAAAACAAATGTATTTTTGAAAACTTTTCAAGGGTAAAAATATTGCAAAGTAAAACAAAATATACAGTTTTAAAATATTGAAAGTTTTATTTAAAGTTTTTAAAACACGAATCAAACCAGGATTTAATCTGCGGGAGCAAACTTTATTAAAACGTTGGAGAAGGAGAACGGCGGCCCGGGCCGAGCGGTGCATATTTGTTTTACAATTAAAAAGTAAAAAAAATTCACATAATTATACAAATTTTTTAATCAAAACAAATGATTTCTCTTAATAGAATTTAATATCTAAACGAATTGATACAGTGAGAGAAACCCATAAAAGTGTGGATTATGAAGACGATGTTTTAGCATGATTATTAGATGTTGTTATAAAGCAAATAGATTTACCACTTGCTTAAAAATAAACTTGATAAATATAATAAATATAATAGGTTGGCGTACACTGCAAAACTGCTTTGTTTCATGTTTAAAGTATATACAAACATCAAATAAATATCAAATGTATCATACATCCTCGGATTTATCATTTATATCCCTCGGGGGTTTAAATTTCCATTGATTCTAATTTTTCTGAGAGTAAATGACATTTCTTTTTAATGAGGGGATTCAATGATAAACCCGAGGGCTTGCGGATTTTTTTTGCCTTTGTAGATTTTCAAAGTATCTTTCAATGAAAATATCCCGGCGGGATTAAATGAAAATTGTTGCATACCAAAAAAACCAGCTTTTATAAAGGAATGTATATATATAAATATTAGTGAAATTATAATTTTAGTTTAAAAATTGTCCTTCTCATCCACAGTTTCATGAGTCCCACAGTATATGTTACCCATTCCTTCGAAGAGGTTGCAGGAGTCACCAGGTTTCACACATTTCTCAACCTAAAGTAAAATATTGTATAAGTTTCTTTACTTTCTATAATTACAAGATATGGGGCCATATTCTGTACATATGTAATACAAAGGTGTTGTTGTACACTTTTGGATTTATCAGGGTAAGTAGTCATAATGAAAGTCTTGACTTCGCATTTTGGCAGAACATCTTGGAAGAGAAAATAAGCGCGGTTCGGAAGATTAGGTAGCAAGTGCGATATCCAGAATTTACTTTTTGACGTGATTTGCGGTAAGGGAGAGAAATAAATGCAATTTGCTCTTTCTTCCTTGTTAAATGTGACATATTTACCTTGACTGCCTGTGCATAATTATCACCGTCTTCTCCAGGCAGGTTTACTACAAATCTAATTAATATCTTAAAGTTGATAATCTTGATTAAGAAATAGAATAATTAAGTGATAGTTGATTGATTGTTAAATTTATTGTTATGCGTTGATTTAGCATTTTTATTACTTGTTTAATGAAAGGAAATTGAGATATTGTATTGGCAATGAACATTTTAGAAATTAAAAGATTGAAATGTAGATTTAACGGTTATTTAAGTAATTAATAAATTGATTAGCTAATTGATCAATTGATTGTTTGATTTATCGATTAATTGGCCCATGGGTACCCTCTGCGGGTGAAATGGGATGAAAAAATTTAAATTTTTTTCTTTTCTTCAAAAATCTATTTTCTTTCTTAAAAACATAAGTTTTTTTCAAATTCGATTTTATAAATTGCACGGGCAACGCCTGGCATTTAAGCTATTATGATTATATATTCTTGATTGTTACCTCCACTCCTGGTTAATGTTTCTAGCTGTTCTAGGGTACACATAACTAGTAGCTGAATCACATACAGGAACCTCCTGAACATTTATAGGGGTTTTCTTTAATAATTTTAGATCATTAATATCATTAATGTTCCTGCTTTTATCATACGAAATATTACACACATTTAGAATCCATTTAATTTTGATACGAATCCTTACACTAAAAAAATGTTGAACTTTTTCTCGCAAAGAAATTAAGTCTTTGCCACAAAATCTCATTTTCTAATCCCTAGCTATATTCTTTGCAACCCAAAGTCGTAGACCTTTGAAATGTTTGACATATAAATTATGCTAAATCGAATTATCTAAGTTTGAATTATCAATGGTTTACACCATCAGGTTGTAGTGATTAGAAAATTTGAGCTTGTGGCAAGGCTTAATTTTAGCAGCATTCATTTAGAGATCGGAACGTTTTTGATAAACGATCAATATTTGAAACATATTTTTTGTTCTAAATCCGGATCCAGGATTCTAAAACGTTGTGAATACAACGAATCCAGGTTATGTTGGTAGATTTCTTCCCTCCCCNTCCCGGCCTCTTATACTTCAACAATGTTTTGATTCTTTATTTGCATTAAGTTCCTCCATTATGATTTCAAAGGTAGTGTGATGAAGGGCGTTTCTTTATGGTACAAGTGCACATATATAGATCCAGATATATATTTAAATCTTAAACACAATTAAGATTAAAATCCAGAGATAACGCATTGGATACATGCATAAAGGTTCTATGTTGTAAAAAGGTTCCACGTCCATATTTTATGCAGAGATCAAGATCAACTAGAGGATAGGAATGCATAAATTACAAGTTGACCAAGTATGAATATAGTATACGTGTATATCACTATGTGACACTTCTATGGAACATGCATTTAAAACTCTGCAAACCAGCATTATACAAACTACAAGCTAAAAATCCCACATTTTTTTTGTATTTGAAATGGATTTTTAAAATAGGGAGTAGGGTTTTTACAACTGCAGTGTGCACAACAAAATTTATTTTTGAAATATTTAAAGAGACAGTAGTCGACTAGTTTCAAGAGAGGCATGTCTGATTTAAAATGATACCCTTGAAGATATTAGAATACAGATAAAGACTTGTATCCAAAACAGTACTTAGACCAGTAATGAAAAAAGTTTATTTGATCGAGATATCAGGTACCTAGGCATGTTCCTAGTCGAAATTCCTTCACCCAAAGAGATGTTTAACTACAGGCTGGATTATGGAATCCGACTGCACGAAGTGGCAAATGTTTGACTTAAAGAGAACTTTCTTGGTACAATTTTCATGTTTGTTTTAATTACTCTAAACTCCAATAACTGCAAATATGCATTACACCCATACATATTGAATATTTTCCATTGCAAATGATTGTTTAGTAAATCTATCTGATCTTGGTAGAATGTTAGTTAAGAAACAATTGAAATATTTGATGTCCCATAGAGGAGCATGCATGTGGAAAGTTTCTATTTACCGAAAGTATTAAATACAAGAATGTATAATTTGTCATCCATATAATAAAACAAGACATTCGTATATATATATATATATATGTTGCCTGTAGCCGGCCAAACGGCTGGACCGATTGGGCTGACATTTTTTGTGGACACTCAGGAGTGGCCGGGGGGTGCTAAGCTAAAAAATATCGACATTTTTTTCTTTTTTCCCACGGGTAACGCCGGAACCTTCAGCTAGTCAGTTTTATGATTTGATAATATCGTAAAAAAATGATAATTATGTTTTGTAATGAGTAATGGTCAATGTCGATTTTTTTGCAATTTTTTTTTTCGTAAGAATAAACAGCTTCTACACTGCCTCTTGTTTGTTTGTTTGTATCCAATAAACGTAAAAACGACTGAACCGATCGGGCCCAAATTTGTTGTGGGACCTCGCGTGATTCCAGGGAAGGTTTTCAAAAATTTGCTTCAACCAAAATTCGATTTTTGAAAATTTTTAAAATCCAACAAATCCGCGAAATTTTTTTCAATGTATACAAAGAGAACGTGTTAACAATTGAAATAGAAGATGTACGCGAAGCGCTCTAAAAGCTTTGTCATGATATAATAAATCAAAAAGAAATTACAAAGATGATCTCAAAATCGCCAAGATGATCTCAAAGTTCATTGGTACACCCCATACTTAGTACAAATTTCAATTGTTTTTGTGATTTACACAGAGCCATACTGCACTGTACAAGTACAATCTATTGTCTTTAAACCTGGTTTAATAAGGGTGTATCCTCAATATATATTAATAAACTGGATTATGATCACAGACTTTCAGTTGTATTTCATGAAGTTAAAAGGGAGTTATAGAGGAAATAAATTATGTTTCAATATATTTTTAAATATTATATTTTCAAATATATTTTTTAATATATTTTTAAATATCTTTTTAAATATATTTTTAAATGCCAAGATTTATGTTTTCTGAAAATCCCCGCCTTGAATAAACAGAATTGGATGCGAAGTGTCCTAAAATCCTAGTTTTCTATACTTTCACCTCTATATACTCAAAGTTTGCTTTCCCTTCACTGTTTTGAATAAGATCTGTAGACTCTTTGGGTAGCTGGATACTAGACTCATCAGTAAATATATGATCAACTACTCCTGAACATAAGAAATATACATCTTTCTACTTTTTAGAATCAAAGGATTAAAGTATATCGGAATTAAAATGTTTAAGATAAAAATGAAATCCCAAAATTCTTGAAGCATTTTCGGTTTTGGGACAATTTAACGAAAATTAAATTTTTAAAGATAAGGTAACATATTTTCCGGTCTTAGCCTGACCTGGACACAACATTGAAAACCCAGTCTTAGTCTAGACACAACATTGAAACCTGGTCTTAGTCTAAACACAAACTTGAATACCAGGTCTCATCCTAAACATAACCTTAATTACCCGGTTTTAGCCTGGACACAATCTTGAATACCTGGTCTTAGCTTGGACACAAGTTCACAACCTTGAATACCTGGTCTTAGCCTAGACACAACCTTGAATACCTGGCCTTAGCCTAGACACAACCTTGAATACCTGGTCTTAGCTTGGACACAACCTTGAATACCTGGTCTTAGCCTGGACACAACCTTAAATACCTGGTCTTAGCCTAGACACAACCTTAAATACCTGGTATTAGCCTGGACACAACCTTGAATACCTGGTCTTAGCTTGGACACAACCTTGAATACCTGGTCTTAGCCTGGACACAACCTTGAATACCTGGTCTCAGCCTAGACACAACCTTGAATACCCGGTCTTAGCCTGGACACAAACAACCTTGAATATATATTGGGACAATTCAACAAAAACTACATTTTTAAAGATAAGGTAACTTATTTTCAGGTTTTAGCCTGGACCTGGACACGACATTGAATACCAGGTCTTAGTCTAGACACAACATTGAACCTGTTCTTAGCCTAGACACAACATTGAATACCAGGTCTTAGTCTAGGCACAACCTTGAATACCTGGTCTTAGACTGGACACAACCTTGAATACCTGGTCTTAGCTTGGACACAACCTTGAACACCTGGTCTTAGCCTGGACACAATCTTGAATACCTGGTCTTTGCTTGGACACAACCTTGAATACCTGGTCTTAGCCTGGACACAACCTTGAATACCTGGTCTTAGCTTGGACACAACCTTGAACACCTGGTCTTAGCCTGGACACAACCTTGAATACCTGGGACACAACCTTGAATACCTGGTCTTAGCCTGGACACAACCTTGAATACCTGGTCTTAGCTTGGACACGACCTTGAATACCTGGTCTTAGCCTGGACACAACCCCTTGAATACCTGGTCTCAGCCTAGACACAACCTTGAATACCCGGTCTTAGCCTGGACACAAACAACCTTGAATATATATTGGGACAATTCAACGAAAATTACATTTTTAAAGATAAGGTAACTTATTTTCCGGTCTTAGCCTGGACTTGGACACAACCTTGAATACCTGGTCTTTGTCTAGACACAAACTTGAATACCAGGTCTCATCCTAAACATAACCTTGAACACCTGGTCTTAGCCTGGACACAACCTTGAATACCTGGTCTTAGCTTGGACAAAACCTTGAATACCCGGTCTGAGCCTAGACACAACCTTGAATACCTGGTCTTAGCCTGGACACAACCTTGAATACCTGGTCTTAGCTTGGACACAACCTTGAACACCTGGTCTTAACCTGGACACAACCTTGAATACCTGGTCTTAGCTTGGACACAACCTTGAACACCTGGTCTTAGCCTGGACACAACCTTGAATACATGGTCTTAGTCTAGACACAACCTTCAACACCTGGTCTTAGCCTGGACACAACCTTGAATACCCAGTCTGAGCCTAGATACAACCTTGAATACCTGGTCTTAGCTTGGACACAACCTTGAATACCTTGTCTTAGCCTGGACACAACCTTGAATACCTGGTCTTAGCTTGGACACAACCTTGAACACCTGGTCTTAGCCTGGACACAACCTTAAATATCTGGTCTTAGCTTGGACACAACCTTGAATACCCTGTCTGAGCCTAGACACAACCTTGAATATCTGGTCTTAGCCTGGACACAACCTTGAATACCCTGTCTGAGCCTGGACACAACCTTGAATTTCTGGTCTTAGCCTGGACACAACCTTGAATACCTGGTCTTAGCCTAGACACAACCTTGAATACCTGGTCTTAGCTTGGACACAACCTTGAACCCCTGGTCTTAGCCTAGACACAACCTTGAATATCTGGTCTTAGCCTGGACACAACCTTGAATACCCGGTCTTAGCCTGGACACAACCTTGAATTTCTGGTCTTAGCCTGGACACAACCTTGAATACCTGGTCTTAGCCTAGATTGTCCTTGTCCTTCTTGGTCAACTCTGTCAAATGTTCCTAATGGAACTGCTGCTCTGTTTGGAACCTGAGCAACAAATGTCAAATCAAATCATTTTCAACCGAAAACTGAAATTAGAATATTCTAAACCTAATACTGAACATTAGTACATTCTATGACTGATAATCGATTATAATTTAAACTTTGATAGAAATGTATTTTAAACCTGAAAACTTTTATGCAATTTTTTTACAAGGTTTTGAATTGAAAGTCATTATTTTGGAGACCACTGTATTAAAAAATCTGACCAGTATTTCATTACGTTGGGGTTTAAGAGGATTAAAGAGTACTGCAGCTTCTAGAGAACTAGTTCTGTTCCTACAAATTTAAATTATTAATTAATTTTATATAAAAGTTACTTGACAATTTGCATTTTATGTACAAGTTACTTGACAACATGCATTTTATATAAAATTTACTTGACAATTTGCATTTTATGTACAAGTTACTTGACAACATGCATTTTATATAAAATTTACTTGACAATTTGCATTTTATGTACAAGTTACTTGACAACATGCATTTTATATAA